CAATCTTTGTAACTCGACATGGTTGCTGAGGAAAAATGTTAGAAGGTGTGCTAATTTTACCACTTTGTTGAGGGTGGCGCCCAAACGAAACACGTTGGACCCTTGGTTTATTTGGAAAAAGTGCTTGTGTCTTCTACCACCAAATTTTTTTTACGTAGTAAGACCTTGTATAATTCCTAAAGAACTAGTGTGACTTCCTAAAACATTAGGAAAATTTGATTTTGGACAATTATAAGAGTAATCTTGCGAAACTATCTGGCCCCGGGCGCAAGTTGAACTACCTATTAAGTAATTTTTCAATTATCGATAATGATATTCACAGATTCGTTTAGTTCTACTATTTGGGTGCTTTATTTTTATAATGTTATCAACAATAATAGTAACTAATTGCTATAGCAACTCCATTTCTATATCGCATTTACAGTAACTTTGTATATTCCAAAACAATTGATATTAATACATTGGTAGGGCGGAATTTATGGTGTAATTATTGAATGCGAAAGTTCAACTTTTCAACCTCGCCATAATTATTAATCATGCGAAATATCTATAATTTGCTTGTAAAAAATTTAGTAGCCGTTAATTGTGTCGGCGTTTGACGTATAATTTCAATTTTTACCTTGACTTTGAAAATGCCCCAATTGGCTACTATGTCGTCATATTAAACCTTTTAACAAACATTCATTACAATTAGACCTTGATCCGTTTCGTCACAAAGCTTGACTTTTTTGAATTGTCATTAACCATTCATTGCTATAGACCATTCCATCCCCTTGCAGCAGAAGTTGATCATATCGTCTTTGATGCACTTACCGTTATCAATACAAACGATAAAGATGTTAAAAATTACGACGAAAAATTATAATTATTGATTTTGCAACACGATTATAGCATTATATCGAAAGGGTCACACGATAAAAATTAATAAGCGATAAGGGCCCGTATTAGAGTTCGGCGCGCTCGTAATCGTCCAAGGTAGCAATCGAAACGCGAAAAAGACCACACGTGAACGGTCTTCATTTTTTCTGCTTAATTTTGTGCCGTAAAAGTGTGTGACAATGCCGTCTTCATCCGTTTTCGATCGGAACACTGTAAGTGCAGGTGATCATATTTTTGTAATTCAAAAAATTGCGAATTTGTCTGGGTAATAAATCATATTAATTTTGTGACGTTGTAAATTGCGCAAATTTGACCGACGGCTAATAATGCCGAAAATTGGATGTAATTGAACTGTAGACGTCCACACACACGTGCTGGTCGCGGTTCAAATAAAAGTATAAGATGTAATTGGTATAATTATATCATTCAATTTTTTTCTCAGAACCAAAACCAAAAATGCGCCTTATGTAACGTCGTAAACAGTTCCTATTTTTTTACAAATCGTTTACGTAGGGAAATTTTAGATTAAAGGATACAGTGCGGGAGTGAAATTCTAGAGCTTTAGAGAAAGTAGATACTATTCATCTGAATCAATGTCATATCAAACTCATTTTCCAGTGTGAAAATTAAAGAGTAAAAAAGAATTACTTATGATGCAAGATTCAACTCGATTTTTTAATCGCGTTTTGCAAGACCACATCCTAATTGCGTCAACCCAAAAAAACGCTTTAGATAAGTATAAGTGTGTGATTATGGGCAATTGACAATTACTTACATTAATATTTTTCAGAAACATTACAAAAAATCAAGGTTTATAATTTAAACTATTAACTAAAATTCTAAGACCATAATGGAAGCAATAAACAAAAGTCATCCTGACATATCGTATAGTTTAGGTGTTAACTTTTATTTGCAAATAATTTTAGTGCCCAAACAGCTTTAGAGCACCCTTGACAATTTAGGACTCTAATGCTTTCAAAGACTAGATACCTAGTAGAATATGCACATTTTTTTGTACGATAACAGGGACATTCCTTCAAAATAATTGAAAAAAATTATCCTCGTGTGAGATCGAAGGGACTTCAGCGCATTTTTTATGTGGCAGATCAGTATTCTATTTGCCAGTGTTGACTTCACCATCAATAAGATCTTGTCGAGGGCTACCACATTCGCTTTGTCAGTACCCACTTCCGGCGTCCCGTTCGCCCGCAATTCGCATTTTGGTGGATTTTCCAAAAAACCCTCTACAATAAGTACTCAATTTTTTGGGCCATTTCTCATAGCCCAAGCTGCTATTGGCGGCAAGAGAAAGACAGACCGCGATTTGAGCTCTAAGAAACTTTTGGAGATTCAAAGTCGACTACCCTTCGAAGACACGAGCCTTGCAAAATGTGGCTAATCTCGCCCCTAGGGAAAAAAAACAAAATTCCGTCACGCAAAAATTGTGCGCGTTTACAAGAACTTTCCGACCACTCCAATTTGATTGGACCAAAACTGTAGAACATAGGAAAAAACTGAAAAATGGCGCCCTGATATCGCCGACCCCACATCATGTGTTAAAATGTGTATTTGTCTGCAGGAATATTTTTAAGGGGGATAACTTTTGTTTGCACATAAGACTAGAACCGCGAAGCAGGGCGGGGTTAACTGGTTAGGGTATAAGCTATCAAATAGTGAAAACCCGAAGTCGATTTGGGAGCAAAGTTATGTAGCACGCGAGCAGAGAGATACCCTTTGGGGGGACTGGGTCGAGTTAAAAAATTGGATTGTTGTAAAATAAATTGCAGTAGCACTTCAGAAATTTCATATTTTGCACCCAAAGATTTATGGTTTTGGCGTCCCTAGTATGGGCAGGTTATAATTTAAACAGGGGATGTTCATTGTTCAGTTCAAAAGGTAAAGCTACTTTTAAGAGCTTTTTTTTTGCAAATTTTTTTGTCTTTAAAACTCACTTTGGCCGGCTGGCAGCAAATGCGGGCCCGTAGAATTACTCTTGTAATTCTGAAAAATCAGAGCATGTAATTTGCTAAATGAGAAAGAAATCACGCTGTGAAGAATATATGCTATAATGCAATTTAATATGCAACAAAAATCAGTGCAACGTTTAATAATCGTAGAGAAAAATGTTTAAAACATTTGGTTTAATTACACGGAAAACCAAATTCAACCCTTTCCATTTAAGACAAGAAGTCATTATTCAAATATCAAAATCGAGATAAAAATTATACCATTCCTCCGTCCTTAGATATAAAAAAAGAAACTGTCCAAAAGCTAAATTTGGAAATTTATTTCATTTCAGAATCAGAAACGTCAAACTTAACGTACAGGTGTAACGTTAGTTATACATCACAGACGGCCAAAGTCGAGTTACCTGAAACTAATTTTCGGTACTTTCTCATTTTCAGAGTGTTAATATCAAACATTGTGGTTGATAATAAACAATGACATATCAACTTGAGAATTATCAAAACAAAATGAATTGCGTAATAATGTGAATAACGTGCACACAACGACTGAAACTTTCACGATGATTTCATCATTTAAGGGTTGAAGCCTGAAGATTTAATCTTAATATAGATTTGGTGTACAAGCAATCCTGTACTGAAGTTTCCTTTGTGAGTTATTGCTAATGACACATCAGGATCTGCATTCACATAATCGAACGATACCTTATCCGTAATCCGAACGTTGAACCGCCGCAAAAATTCTAATGAGGGAAATCCCTCGATGTACATTGCACTTCATAGAAATCACAATACTCAGAAGCAAATCATTCCGCAACACATGTAGCTGCATTTTCGTCAGGAGTGGACACCCCTTTTCTGGAGGGCATAAGAAATGGTCAATGGAAAACCCCAACTGTTTCATTACTATTCCGACATTTTTTGTCAAACAAAAATAGTTGTCCCAGTTATCGTCGGTATGATTCTTTCTGTAATTGGTTGATTGAAGTTATCAGTAACTACGGCACGTAAGCTTGTATAAATAGCTGTGTTGAAAGAAACGATTGCCAAATTTGGTTTCTTCACAGCAGTCGTTTCCTTTGGTAGAAACAGGGTACAGGCTTGTAGATGAAGAATTTGTACCATCATTCTCAATTTCTCATCCCACGCATCATATTCTGCAACTAAAACTATGTTCATATTTAAATACACAGAAGATTGTCTCAAGGGAAGGGGAGGGGAGGTAGATTTCGAACTCTAACGGCGGAGTTCGAAATAGTAGAGCATTTCAAATTTATCGATCATCCCCACGCTGTATGACTTGCAATTCCAGTGGACGTCATGCAATCTCAAATGAGTCATATTTGTTATAGATACTTAACTATTTATAATGGGGTTAATATAGAATAGACACTATAATTAACTACTTAATGGTGGAGGAACTGAAAATTAATAGCGTCGTAAACATAAAAAACGCTGACAGGGAGCAATGTACAGCAAAATACAAGGCCCATCGGGTAAGTGGATCAAGGGCTTCACTGGTGATAGGGTGCGATTATCGCCGAATTCGATACAGATCATATCAGGATTAAGTCGCTATCTGTATGTCGATCGACCTTCCATAAGATAATGTTATAAACATCGGCAAGTGTGGAGATTACGTGTGGCATTGTTTTGTAAACCAAAATCTCAAAAAGCGTAGCGTAGTTTGCATAACATTCTTGCGCGCAAAGAATGTATATTGTATAAAAATAACAATTTTGAAACTATTTAAACTTTGACATCAAAATTTTCCATTATTTTTGGGCAACTTATTTTTTATTTATAAGTCTTTTGTTATCTTTTGCTAGCCAGTGATCCAATCTCTTGCGTGATTTAATGGTAACATGCAGAGGTCGGACTACATAGCAACTATAGATTGCCAAATCATTATCAGATTACTTCCTCCACATCAATCATGAAAGCGCGATATAAAGAAACTTGAACTTATTATCAAATAAAAATCAAATTAGCATATAGTTGCGTTTTATGTATTTTTGTGTACGGAAAAGAAAGACAGATGTAGTCGTAAATGTTATATACATACGTCAGAATGTAACAAACGACATTTTATATTGTGATACAGTAACAATTAAATCATTTCACAACAACTTATTGCCAATATATAAGCAAGTTGCACAGAATTAATCGCCATACAGTCTATTTGCTTCAGTCATGATGCTCAGTGCAATATTACAAAAACCTGATTATTGTTCTCAGCTCATTATGGGGGAGAACACCAAGTACCATCCAGCATGTGTTACCAACGGTCACAGTAAATGCGAGGATTACGAAGAAAACAATGGCTATCTACCGTACCCCAAGGGTTTTGCAACCGCCGCCATCCACGTCTCTCAAGAGCCCGAACAATGGAACAGCCTAAACGTTGTGCCGCCGATTGTCATGTCGACTACCTTCAAACAGCTTAGTCCAGCGCAACCACTCGTAAGTCCATTCATTTCTCCCCGCCTTTGTCTTAAAAGTAAAATTTTCGCAGAAATACGAATACGGCAGGTCCGGAAACCCAACCAGAAATATTTTAGAAGACATTTTGGCAGCTTTAGAAAATGGGAAATACGGTATTTGCTACTCGTCTGGATTAGGTGCTATAACGGCGGTCGTTAGCGCGCTAGAAATTGGAGATCACATCATCTGCGGGGACGATGTTTACGGTGGGACCAATCGACTTCTCACCAACGTGTCAAAATCGTTTGGTATCACAACAACGTTTGCCGATTTAACAGATCTGGAGAAAGTGAAAAAGGCCATTCAACCAAACACTAAGGTAAGACTTTAAAACTAACGATTCCTTGAGATATTTTGTTGTGGTAACCGTTTCTAATTGTCAAAAAACGTTGGCCTCTTTGTTTGATATTAATTTCTCTTATCATGTCCCGGCGTATTGCAATGGAGACCAAAATTTACAAAAACAAATCATTCAATTCTAAAGCGGTTTTTAATCAACAAAATTAGTATCATAAAGTTTTGTTCTTTTGATCTACATTCTCTATACTTTGTATGTCAAACGATTTAGACACTATTTTAAATCGGTCACAAAGCACAATACAAAATAGTATACCTAACATTCAATACTGTCCAAACATCTGTCATCCCTAGGAGGTTTCATTCAAAACTTGTAAAATCTGAAAGATAATTTTTAGCGTCCTAGCTTGAATTAGGTGACTTTCGTAATCACCACTTTTTTCATCAGATGTCGACGTTTTAGATCATTTTCAGCAACTTTTAAAGAATAATAGTCATTTATCTATCAACGGCCATTAAGGCGATATTTATTCCGAGGGCGACACAATCCGAGGGATTGTAAGTCGCCCAAGGGTTAAATATCGATTAATGCCTGAGGTGCATACAAAATTTTATTTTTCATCATTCCAAATAATGTATTTCCAAAATACAAATGTAATGAATATTGACTACCCAACATTAAAGTGCTTCATACAAATAAAGTAACATCTTTTTTTAATACATAATAGGTATATCTCGATCAGCCCTTTAATGTTGGGCAGACAATATTCATTGCATTTGTATATTGGAAATACATGATTTGGAATTATGAAAAATAAAATTTTGTATGCAGCACCTGTGACGTTACTCGATATTTAACCCTCGCGCGACTTACGATCCCTCGGGCTCTGTCGCCCTCGGCATAAATATCACCTTAATGCCCTTGATACATAAATATAACTATTGACAGGACGTTTGCGGGCATAATGAGACGACAATCCATTATGCCCTCGGACGTCATGGACTGTTTTATACCTATATCTCATATGACAGATATAATTTGCATATAATAGGCAAGTGAAAAATGAAAATTTTTTCCATCTGTATGTATGGAAATTTTCCCAGATAACGGCTCGACCGACTTTTTTTCTGTCCGTTCGTCCGTGTACATGGTACTCGTGAACAGTTTCGAATTTTCCAATTCTGTTTTCAGTAATAGGTAGACTGGGTCAAAGGACTAACTGATTTAATGTTGGTCCTAAGAACTTTCTGTCCGTCTGTCTGTGTTTGTCGCTCGTTGTCTATATTTGTTTGAAACAGCTCATTATAAAGAAAAATTTCCACCATAATCTGTGCATGATTCATGCACATTTGACAAAGGTTTGTTTATCATATTACAATAAATAATTTTATTAGCAATAAATTTCTAATGTGAGTTATAAAATAAAAAAGAGATATTTTGGGTTGTTAATATTGTATATTATTCAAGTTTAATTACCTTGTTTAAATTTTATTTGGTGATAGTACCGAAAATTTAGAGCAGCAATAAACAAAAATGTATTTTTTTGCAGTTAATATGGCTAGAAACACCTACGAATCCGATTTTAAAAATCATAGACATTAAGGCAGTGGCGACGGTGGCCAAGAAACATAAATTATTATTAGCAGTCGACAATACATTCCTAACTCCGTATTTACAAAGGCCATTAGAATTAGGAGCCGACATAGTTGCCCATTCCTTAACAAAGTACATGAACGGACATTCCGATGTTGTGATGGGAGCGGTCATAGTAAGAGACGAAGCGCTGCACAACAAAATGCGCTACCTTCAAAATGGTAAATGGGAAGATCACACAATTACATGCTTTAATGTCCGTTTTACAGCCTTAGGTATTGTTCCATCGCCTTTCGATTGCTACCAAGTAAGCAGAAGTTTGAAGACGTTGGCAATTCGGATGAGACAACACAGCGCTAGTGCACTAACCTTAGCGAAATTCCTAGAAACTCATCCAAAAGTCAGCAAAGTTCTTCACCCAGGTAAACCATTATGCGAAAAAATTCGCACCGTAACCAATCACATAACTTTCAGGGTTACCCAGTCATCCTCAGCACGCACTCTTCAAAAGGCAAACGTCCGGACACAGTGGCATGATTAGCTTTTACATTCAAGGAGGATTGGAAGAATCGAAAAAGTTCCTAAACAATTTAAAAATATTCACCTTAGCCGAAAGTCTGGGCGGTTACGAAAGTTTGGCGGAATTACCGTAAGTCACCATTTACAATTTGCCGACTAAGTCTCATAATCTCGTTCACAGTTCCGTAATGACGCACGCATCGGTACCCGAAGAGCAAAGGAAGATTTTACAAATCAATGATAGTCTAATTAGGCTATCGGTGGGGCTCGAAGAGGTTGAAGATTTAATTAATGATGTGAATCAAGCTTTAGCAGGTGTATAAATGCCAGACCGACTAATTTATTGAAATTATTTTATGGAATCTCTATTCTATAAGCACCCTAGTATTTTATAATTGTGAAAGTTATTTAGTAGATACCAATTTTTTTTTCACTACAGTTTATTTATGTTATTAGTGATTTAGTGAAATTAGTGAGGCTACTTCCCTTGATAAATTATGTGACTATAGTATGAAAGCCAATTTATATTTAATAATTTAACTAAGATTATTTTCAATAAACTATTAAATAAGTATGACTGTATAAGTTATTCTATTCCATGTAACTAGCAATATTATCTATTCCCATGGGAATTTGTTTCTAGTATACCGCCGCTCCCATTAGGAACAGTAGCAATGCTGTTCATGTTATTGGATTTACTTACCTCAAGTGCCATTCGGAATTAGTTCAACGCTGTCTACGTGTGGAGTAACTTAATATGTAGGGTTCTTATACTCTTTATGACTAAATTGCAAACATTTGTAACTGCTTAGAATCCTAATTCATGCAACAAACATCCTACATATTATTGTAACGTGTAAAGAGCGTTTATAATTCCTTTCGAGAAGACTGAAAATGGATTCATCAGTTGATTACACAAATCTCCTACGTAATTCTCCCGACCAAACTGATCTGAACAGAATTTTTATGATACGGAAGGCCTCTTCGTTCGGTCGACAATTTACTGGTAACTTTATACGGCTCTTTCAAGAACGTAGATGGGTGGGTGGGGGGGGGGACTACTCCCCTGGCTAGAAGAATTATAATAATAACAAGTCAAGCTGAAACTGTTACCAATCATTACCTTGATACTCGATACTTTGGCGTAGCCTCCCCCTAAAAAATAAAATTCAGGCAAGGTGGCAATTCTTATTTAAGGTAATTTTATTCATTTCTATGTTCTGTAAATACCTTGTTTACTTGTTTAGATAATTATGCGATAATATTAAATAATAATAACATATAAATATAACAACATATTTTTGTTGCAGGTTATAACTTCATGTAAGATCTTTACGTGATCTACTATTCTTGTGCAATGTTACTAAAATTTAAGACAAAGTATTGAATTTTTTTGCTTTACCCCTTTCCCAGGAAGAAATTATCTACCCCCTTAGGTTCTTTTGGGATCTCTGTGACATGTACTTTGAATATACAGGGTGGTGCCTAGCGCGACGCAGCATAGGGATTTCAATGGTAATTTCTTTATAGTCAATTACTAGCTCCCCTAATTATTTTAGAGCAAAAGTCTAAATACGTTTTTTTAGAGAAAAAAATACTGCATCTGTTCATACTTTTAGTTATAATTTTCCATTTTTCAAAACCGTAGAAATCGACAAAATAAAAAATTACATTTTTATAAATCAGTGATGCTTTGGAATCTTTTAACAAACTACAAGCGCATCGCATCTAAGTTAACTTGTTTGACGTCGAACGATTTTCACTTATAATTGCACAAGAGGTTTGTATTTTACCGAGTAAATTTGGGTTGTTTAGGTAATGAAAATTTGTTGCCTAGCAATTAGACGAGAAAAACTGTCAACTAATAAAAATGCGACACCGCAGGTGGAGCATTTTTAGGTTGACAGTTTTTCGAGTTCAATTGCTAAAAGGAAACAGATTTGAATTGCAACAACCCAAATTTACTCGGTTTAAATACAAACCTCGAGTGTAATTCGGCAGGACAATTTAACGAACAAGAAATTCACCAAACTAGTCAATTATTGACAGACGTCAAGCTAATCATATGGGAAAGGATAATGCGATAATTGTTCCAAAATGAATAAGTGAAAAAACCACTAGTGCATTTGTCGCTGGAAAAGTTGCAGGTAACTTTTGCCGCTGTCAAAGTGACAATTACACTGCGGCTTATGCGATTTTTTATACATGAGTTGAATTGTCATATTTAATTCTGTTTCAACTATCCGACGCAAGAAAAAGCGTCTATGGGGTAATGTTTTTTTAGAGAATGTATGCTGCATCTGCATCAGATACTATTTGTTTATCATTTTCCGGAATCAGAGTACCTACATAATCGAAGAAAAAAAACTGATTTGAAGAAGATTTGTTCCTAAACTCATATTCGGATTTTCCGCTACTGCAGTCAAAACGTTGAATGTATTGTCGTTTTCCTGATGGTTTTGATGGACATTTTGAACGTTATTGCACTTGCAGTTCTTTAACTAATTTATAAACAAGTATAAATTTAATATACGTCAAAGGCAAATAATGAAACGTGATCGCTGTTTTTTTTTGGTAATTCCAAGGCATATCTGATTTATTGTAAAATGAACCTTTTTATTTTGTTGATTTCTACGGTTTTAAAAAACGGAAAATTATAAGTAATCATATGAACAGATGCAGTATTTTTTTCTCTAAAGAAAACGTATTTAGACTTTTGCTCGGGGAGCTAGTAATTGACTATAAAGAAATTACCATTGAAAGCCCTATGCTGCGTCGCGCTAGGCACCACCCGGTATATATTTTATATTCAAAGGACATGTATAATGTTTACATATAGCCTATAGGTACAGGGAATTTTTCTTAAATGTATAATATATATGGGATATGTATAATTTTAGAAAAAACAAGTCAATGCATGGAATGGATGGCTACAGATAGGCAACCGACCCTCCTGAAGATCTGCAAAAGTCAAATGAGCATCTGCAAAAGTCAAATGCTATTCTAAATGTTTTTTTTTGGAATGACGTCACCGCGAACTTTGCCGAACGCGTATTAAATTCCTTGTATGTATAATCATTCATTAAATACTTTATTTTGATTTCGTTAACATTTTGGCTGTGTATGTTAGGTTTTTCATTGTTTAAATACTTTATTTAAACAATGGTATATCTTTAGTATAATGAAAAGATCCATTGTTTAAATAAAGTATTTAAATATTTATACACAGCCAAAATGTTCACGAAATCAAAATTTACGGAAAAAATATTTTAGGTTTTTAACTTTTGACATTTTTTCAGTTTTTTTGTAATAAAACCTAGCACAATTTTTGTAGCTTGTACATACCAAAATAAGGTCATTAAAATACTTTAATTAAAACTCTAGTTATTTTTGAAAAGAAAAATTCGATGGTGTTGCGGCGCTCCAAAATTTTTGTTTAATCCCGCACCTTATTTTTCGTTTCCAAAATTTGAACAAAATCAAGCAGTTAGCAGTTACCTTGAATTACCAACGTCCGTACGTTCGTACAAATGCAGACGGGAAAAAATTTTAAACTTCAAATGTTTAAAATGATCTAAAACGTCAACAAGCTAGGGAGCTAAAAATGTTAAACATTGTTACTATTTTTTTAGTATAAAAACAAAGAATATAAAACTCCAGCACATCTCTACAATATTATAAATTTTGATTTAAATTCATTTGATAATCTAAAATCGTTAACCCAGATATGACTCCAGACAATAACTTTGCCCCAATATCACTGAGTAACGCCCTTAGACTACAAGATTACTAACCTACATCAAGGATTGTATGACATAACCAACAAGAAAACATGAACATACAACAAAATGTTAGCAAAGATATAATTTATTAATTGTACACACAAAAACTAAACACAAAATTCTACAGTTTAAATAATACTTAAACAAATGAACCAAATTCTGTCATTCTGTCACGTTCAACTATAACAAATATTAGCAAAACCTTGAGTTATTTTATCACATTCTGTTTTATTCACGTCAGAACATTTCGCCAAGTGCATTTTAACACTGGAGATAAACTGTAAAAGGCACATTAGATACAATTTAAAAGTTTCATACTTACTTTGTCGCAAAATGTAATTGACTGATCCAAAAAATAAGCCCTCTTGAAATCCACGCGACTTTTTTCAGGAACATTGGAAGCTTTATACATGATATTCCAGGCCTGACCTAATAAATACTTACTATCCAAGTTCGAGGATATTAATTCCACTTTAAACTTGTACGGCACAAATTGGTCCTCAAAGTTGTGTTTCTTTGCGACGATTAAACAGCGATAGGGTGAAGCAATTAATGCCCCATGAGCACTGAAGGGTGAAAGTATTACCCCGACACAGGGTTTATTATGCCCAATCCATTGCTGCACAGTCAGCTGCGTATCCAGATCTTGCTGAGACGGTTCCGGCGCGAAGGTCGGATGCGAATGAAACCAGCCCAGTATATTGAAACCTTCGTCGTGAATCATATCCGCGGCTTTCGCTTGACTAATTGGACACATATCACAATGAGTGGCGGATGATGCAATGTTACGACACGGCACGTAACGCAATATTGTCATAATTTTACTGTCCGGGTTCCAATATCCACCGATGAGCCCCATGACTTCAGCGGTGGACGTATGCGCATGTAGATCCATCAAAAGGAGCGCTTGCAGGTGAAGATTAATCTGAAACTGTTGCTGCAAAATGTCTCAATTGAATGAATCAATGTTAGTTTTGAGAGTATTCACTTACTGGACTTTCCTCAGAAAAGGCCTTGCAGTAAATCAATCTTATTGTGGGTGTTTTTACGTATGTCCTTTGTTTAACCACAGGTTCCTCGCTAACAATGGTAGTATTAATTACGTCTCCATTTTCATTGTGAGTTAAGGTATATCCTCCTTGTCCATCCTTTAAAAGTAAGAAATCGTAATTGTTATTTCATTTAAAATGTATTGTAATATAATTGAAGTAAAATTGTTCTAGAATGTTCTGGACATAAACCTATACCAAGGCAGCTTCTGGCTGCTCCTAAATACTGCGCGAAGTAAACTGTACTTATGACATAAAAATTTGAAGTACGCAAATGTAGATTAAAGCTAAAGGGTATGGGATTCTATCTGTATTATAAGCACAAAGTGGGCATACTTACATGTAGCAGTTTCTTCCGGATTCTCTGTCGATTTGTAACTGGTGCTTTGGGTAAGGCTATAGTGTTACTTTTTTGTGGTTTTTCTCTTTGAAACGGCGCGCTAACCATCAGCCAATCACGCAAAGGTCGAATGTAAATTGTATCGGCTGCAAATGAAGTTACAGTAATGAAACAATTTGTAAACCGCAAAGATCGAGTTGCAAATGTGTACAGTCAATTGCAACTTATCTTATCAAAAGTCTACTGACCACAACCGAAATTTATGGCGCCGATTTGTTCTAAGAAGTAGTGTATACGCCCAATGCAGTTAACATCTCCGCAATTCTTGAGGCCTTGGCGAACAGATGTTTTTGTTACATATGCAGGCTTGCCAACAGTCCAAGCGTTTAGAATGTGGTTTCTAATCTACAATGTCAATTTATGCAGTGCACAGTAATTTACAAGTTAAAACAAATGGTGCTGTTGCCAACATACACTTTCTAAGTAAGTTTTCTTCATAAAATTTTGAATTATTTTGCAAAATTAAGGTAGTTTACTTTTGATCAAATAAATCATTTTTGGGCCCACTCTGTATACTGTTTGACATGATTTTATTCTAGGTGTATCAAAAATGGTTATTAATGCATCAACTTTTGGGGGTATTTAAATTTTGATATGGCAGAAAATCCCATTTGCATAGTTAATCACTCCACTATATTAGAAAATCCAGTAAAAAATTAAGTACCTTTAATTTCATATATATCTTTCCAAATTACAGGCATAAGGAAAAGTAAAACTTTAATCTCAGCTCCAAAATCCCAAAGCACGTTGTATAAACAATTAAATGAACAACTGTGATTAATAAATTGGTTTTTCAACGGAACTAGCCACTCTAAAAAAATGACGCAACGCAATTTTTTGCACCTTGGACCCCAACGATTTCGTGGTAACAATAAATAACAAAGAACTGGAAAATTCACAAAATTCAAGACTTGTTCGATATCTTTATTTAACATAACAGTGTATTAAAAGAAAAACATTTGTTGAAAAGTGTCCATGTCTGACAGATTCAATTCAACTTTTATTTACAACATTTAAGTTAAATCAACACAGAAGGATTAGTTAGTTGTTTATGAAAGCGGAAGCGCAGCGATCGGCAGCGCAACGAAGCGGCCTTTTTCTTTGCTTAAAGTTGAAATTATAAACGTATCTTCCTCATCAGAGGACACTATTGTTAAATGAAGATTATAGGATAACAGATGACAGAGTGTCGCGCCGCGTCGCTTCGGTGCAGCGCGCTCTATGTGCCTATAGGCACGGAAATGCGCTTCGCTCAGAAAACTTGCGTGGATACGAGCCGTAAAGAATCCCATCCCAAATCAAACTCAGTAGTTATTCGCCTCAATGCACCACTCCCCCACAACTCGCTTATAAAAATATATGACCACAATTGGTACCAGCGCGTTCGCATCTTCAGATGCAGTATGGTGCTTATGGACATACAGTACATGCTTGCCAAACGTGACAATGACAGCACAAGGAGATTATGTTTTGTTTTAATACTTCAATTTAATCATATGTCAATTTGACATCAATGCGGTTAGAAACAAGGATAGTATTATAGAAGAATGACGCAAACTAGTAAGAGATGCAATTAGTTTATAAGACCCCATACTGCATCTGGAGGTGCGAACGCGCTTATGTTGGCAACATCTACCTTTCAAATTAATTTTGTCCACTACTTACTTTCAAGTATCTCTTGGGAGTTTTGACAGTTCGCCCATTAAAATATTCGTCATGTACGTACTTTTCTAGATCTGTCACCTCGTCTTTACCTAATATAACTTCACATGTTGGGCAGTCCATAGAAGTTAACAGATCATAAATCTCTTTACCAACATTTAAATCTGAATGCTGGACAGAAGAAGTAGATTCCATGGAAGCACCCTGTGCTACCGTACTAGTAGATGTGGCAATATGCTCTTTTTGCACAGGAGGCCCCTTGTCGGTTTCCCCTATTTTATTAGCAATAGCCACATCAACGTTTTTGCTCGATATATTTTGATAATGATTGTCATCATTCTCGACATCTAAATCTATATCCTCATCAGTACTCTCCTTCGAAATTTTAACCTAGAGAGCGACATGAATACCAAACATTGCAAAAAAATTAACATACCACTTCTTCTCCATTTATACTGTGAATATCGTCAAACGGTAATGTATTTTGGATATATGAGTTATCCACAGGTGCGCTTAACATCATGTTTTTCTTTTTCACCTTTTGAACATCGGATGCTTTTAATTTTGCGCAAAATTTAAACTTGACGCCATCCTTTTTTGACCTTTTCGCTGGTTGAATTTGCCGATGCATGTTGCCTCTTTTTCCATGACCTAAAATTTACAGTTGTTATGAACTAAAATTTTTTGTTGAATGTTAAAATACCATAATTAACTTTGGGTTTCGCTTCCAAGTTTTGAGATTTCTTAGAGGTTCGTTTGCCAACTGCAATTGTTGGTTTAGCTGTACTTACAGCGGCAATAACTTCCTCAATACTTGCCGGGATCTAAAATTCACCATCGTTTATGAGAATAGTCAGATAATTTTATAGAGAAAAAGGAAGACCATTGAAACAAGTCTATTCACATAGGGGCGTATCAATCAGATCAAATGAAAAATAAATCTTCACATTCTGCACCTTGTAAGCTAAAGGTGTCTAGAGCCTACCTAGGTATATGTTTCAAAGGTTCCCTACACTAAAAATTAGAATATGCCACAGTAACATAAGTAACTCTTCAATTTCTGTATCCAAAAGTACATTACTATTCTATTCCTTACACTAGGGTAGAAGTTACCTCAAAATCGTCTAGAACTGCACCATCATCGCACAAGTTCAAATTATCAGAAGTTACAACAGTTTCTTCTATAATAGGCTGCCCATCTAGGCCTTGCACCACAATTTCTGTGTGGAAATATTTTAAATAATGTTTGACCTCACTTGCAGTTTTTGTTCCGATAAATTGAGCCAGCCTTGTGCCACTTTTCCCAAAGATTTCGATACCCCTCTCCAGCAAGTTTTTCTCCCTTTTCGTCCAACCGCTAGCGTCTGTGATAGTATTTTCTGTTAGTATTTGGTGTTTGTCAACGTTTTGAATTGGCTCTTGGCCCAAGTCTACGTCAAGATCGGAATGAGCGCTGTTGTAACAGCACGAGTTCGTAGATGAATTTTGTTCAAGGAACCATTCGGAGGAGCAGTTACAATTCAATATTTCGCTAGTATGAGACACTAAATCCGTGTTGTTGTATCTGCAATTGAAAATTGTTACTTAACCTAACAAAATCTTTATGCGCATAATTTGCTTACATTTCGGAATCGTTTTTTGATAAGAAATTATCTAAACTAAAATCACCCAAAATGTCTATTTCATCATCATCTGCCATTGTATATTTTTCAAATTTGCGATTAACGGCAACGGCCTTGTTTCAAAACTAAAGGAGTATTTACAGCTACACTCAACTCAGGTTATTTTCTGTCACGTGAGCATCAAACGCCCACCACTAGATGACACTGCAGTCACTATACAGAGTGCTGTAAAAAAAAGAATGATCGTAACAAAGAACGTGCATAGAGCATAACATTGATCTTTGGAACGTGTCTATTCAATATCAGATATCTTAGACTATGGAAGAAAGGGGAGACTGATTGTATGAAGCTCTAGGTGTCACTTTACGATCTATCAATATTCAAGTGTGGTGTTCGGAACTAAGCAAAGGTTTTGTAACCTTTACTTGGCTAAATAGTGTTGGTTGCTGTTTTTGCGACTTTATCTATATAATAAAAACCATTTCCTTCTCTATGATAAAAACGGCGACCGTAAAGGGTTTTTTGCACTAGAATTTACATACCATACCAAGTAATTTCTCAAATAGCAAATATGTTGAACAAATCTTAAATTAACACACACACCAGGGTGTATTTTAACATTGCGTGGTAAACGCAAAAACACAGTAAAAATTGTTTTTTTTCTTATCTTAAAATACATTACACTTTTCTAATAATAGGTAATAAGTAAGTAATTACATTTGGAATATTGAAAACTAGATTTTCCCCCGCGACTTCGTACACTCAATATAAAGTGTAAATACATCGGCACAGAACTACCCGCAAGGGTCTTGGCGCACGTATCGATCGGTAAGCGAACTAGCAGAGTGCGACATCAACGAAAAAAAAGTTTTTAAAAAATCCTATAATTCGATCGGGTTCAATTGTGGATCAAAATCATCAAGGGACACACAGAGACACATAAAAAAATTTCATTAAAGTCCGTCCAACCGTTGAGGAGTTCAGTCACAAACACACGCAGATACAACACAATTTTATATATAAGAAGAAGAAGAAGATAGTGAATTTTGGATTTCTTCCCAATGAAATATTTTCCTCATAAACATTTGAGTTGCTAACAACTGGTAGAACTATGTTTATTTGAGATATACCGGGCGGCGCAAAAAAATGGTCGTTTTAGAAACAAGTCTAACCACTGTATTTATAAACGAAAAGCGGCCTAACTTAGATAATTTTTATTTAATATATACAGAATCAGAATCTTGATTCAACCCAAGTATAGAAAATCGGTCCGAAAAATGTGATAGACCAATTCCTATTATCGCAGATCGATACATCGTTGGGTGACAGCATTTCGCATAACCAGGATCTGTATTAACCGGGCGTCCTTGTTCAGCAGCTATATTCTACAAAACGTTGCAGTGCACTTAACTCCTGCCGGTTCTACGTACGTTAACTCCAAACTGCAATAACACTAAAATAAAATAAACCCGAGAACATTTTAAAAAAAGCCACCCTCCAATGACTTTCCTACAAAACCAAACAGAACAACACTATGAGCTATGACCTGTAGTACCGTAGGGAAGAAACGCAAAATAAAACACTGAGATGGCAAAAAATTTGTTTATTAATGATTGTTATTATTATAAAGATTTCGAAAGCCCGGAAGTTTAGTCGAAGTAAATTACAATGCAAGAATAAAATGTGAAAATGATAGTTCACCGAGTAAAAATAGGCTGGGCAAAAAAGAACTGACCAAGAGAAAAACCAGCCGAGAAATTAATATATTAAACTGTACCTATAGCAAAATTAATTGTTTGTGATAACATACATGATTATCAAGCAAATTTAGAAAATGTCAAATCATAGGCTCAACTATAATTCCTATAACATACACTGTACACACGATAAAAGACAAGCAATGAAATAACATAGAATTGTTAATTAACATTACAGCAAAACAAAGAAACACGTTGTGGCAACATATTTAAGTATAAATTAATTCGATGCCAAGAGCACAATTATCCAATAATCTTCACCTAACGCAATTTTTTCTTCTTTCACAATTTTAAACTAATTCAAATACATATATGTTTATATAAACAAAACACGAATAATAATAAATCCTACACCACTGACTGTTTGTCGCGTTAACACACTGCATTTGTCTTGTTAGGTTTATTTTTTACTCTATTGTGTAAACCCTCTATTAGAAAGTAACACATAATCTACAGGGATTTTATTTTTATATCTAGTTACTTTTCTAGTTCCTTTGGTGTTTTGGTTGGTTTTCAACTTTTCATTGTTATCTTATTTTTTAAAGCTAGTTTTTTGTTTTTTAATCTACCTGGACCAGATCGTCATGAAAAACCAAAAACGATAGCACACTCAAAAGTTAAACGTACTCGATTGAATGAACGTGATGGACACCTCAGGAGAGGCAATAAACTCACTTGTTTCTTGTAAATTAAAATTAATAGAATTATTAACAGAACAACTAAATTTGCACAAACAACAAAGTAAGTATTCAAACAAAGTTCACTGGTTCTATTATTTCTTAATTTTCAGATTTCAAACTGAAAGAGGCCTTGGAAAAACTGCAAATTCTCGATAACGAATTCAATCTTCTAGCACGTAACGAATTGGATAAACTGGTAGATGTACAGAATAAATTTGAAACAAAAGATTGTAACTGCGAGTCGATCAGTTTGTCACATGCGGATCGATTACGAAAACAAACAAATTACACAACAAAAGTTAAAAGTTCCATTAAAATGTATAATAACCTGATAGCAAAGTTGACCAAGGACATTAAGTTTTCAAAAAGGTATTTTTCGCAGCTAATTGTTTTCAAATGTCCCTAAATGACTGTTTCAGCGAATTAGAACGTTCGAAAAACCAAATCGCAGGTATAACACGTGTATCCAGTGATGAAGTTAAAATTATGCAAGCTAAGATCGATCGCTACGAAAAGGAAATACTGAAATTTGAGGTACTTGTGCTTAAAATCTTTGGTTTGCCAGTACTTGCACTGATTTTTTTTTCAGAAAAAATATCCTTGGTTATCCGATCAACAGTATGGCCTACCTAACATTTCCAAACAAACCGAAACGCTAAACAATTTAAGAAGGGAAAAGGCAAGGCTAATGCAGGAATTAGAACGGTACCATTCTCTTAAACCGGATATAAACGAAGCAATGCAACAATTAGCTGCTATTAAACAAGAGTATGATGGCATTATGTAATAATCTCTAAGATGATATTTAAAAATGTGTTTAATTAAGTTCTGTATTACAAATTTTTTATATTTTTTCGATATGTCATATATTTATATATTTTTTTACTACGATTTTTGTCATTTTATTTGTGCTTCAAGTGACCACAGATGCTGTTTGGCATTCTTATATTCTTCATTTGATTAAGTATCTACCTACTGTAAGGAGAGTAGAGACAGGATCAATACGTATGGCAATACTGTATTAGCACTGACTTTATTTCGTAAATGTATTAAAAGTCAAATGTAAAATAAGCTAACAAAAAATTGGCAATGAGCAGGTATTAATTGTGGTCAGTCTTAGGGTAATAAGCTCACTCACTTTCTCAGAGATGGACTTATTATAGTGTTAGGATTCTACTTCTCCATGATGGGAAATAATTGGGTTTTGGAAATGAACTCTTTTTCATTTACAATCTACAACAAACATTTACTTACTAAGAAATGCGCTGTGTGGTAGGATAAGAGCGTTCTAGAATAGCCAAATTGCATTTTATATCGACAAAGAAGTAGCTGGATAGGTTTTGTGTGAATTAAAAACTTTTGTCATTTGAACAGAGCTTTATGCTCAAAGATAAACATTGTGATTCAGAGAATGAATTAGTAAAACCAATTTTGGGTAGCTCATCTTTTGCATCAAATAATCTGAACATACTGTGGCCAAATTGTTACTAAACTTTAGAAAGCGCTGCGTTGAAGGACATTCTCGTGGTCTAAAATTATGGGTGTCTACCATAAAATCGAGTCAGTTGTATTATTCATTATTGTTACCTTAAACTAAGCCATGCGTTCACATCAATCGGCAGCCTGCGCCCTATCAGCAAAAGTAGTTGATAAACAGTGCCACCATAAATTCTACGTACGCATTAGGCAACCTGACGGCCTGAAATTGTGTTAAACTATTTTGTGCCAAACATTTACTTTTTGTTTGGTTATTATATACGAGCGCAGACAATGGTTTTGAGTTTTATGACACTTATTTAGATGCGTGCCTACCAAGCATGTTCTATATCACTACATGCACTACCTCTACAGAAACCCGACGGTCCAAACTTCCCACGATAACATCACCAACCCTCCATCTTTTGAGCCAACCTTTATTGGCTTTGTATGCCATCTTTTTTGTGAATTATTAATCAAACAAAAAAAAAGTTTTGCAACCACTCCAACCAGTACAAATTTATCTAAATTACTCAAAGTATGTTCATAGAGTAATAAAAATGAAATATAAAGTAAAATGCAAAAGAAGCAATCAAAAAAGAATAATTAATAACCCTGTGCCTCTAAATTTAACATAATATACGTCAGCTGCTCGCATATTTGGTCAAACTTAATTTCAATCCCAAATAATTGAAATTGAATGTTTTTAAAGCTGTGGTACCTATATACCCGTGTCTCAGGGAGAACGACCGATAGGGAAACAGAATTAATGTATTTTTCCCCGAAGGATCCACGAGGCGTTTGATATGTGTTTGAAGTTAGCGTTCAACGTACCTACGTTATTGCGCTAGCCTGATGCTATAGAAAGGGATTGGAGTAGTACCTACGTTGAACGCTAATTTCAAAAGGCCCCGTTGATCCTTCGCGAAAAAATACATTGCCGTTTCCATGGTGCGTTCTACGTAGGACACGCAATATAGTATCTGTAACATCAGGTGTTCTGGCCAGCATAATATATCCAATCTAATAGAAAAGAGAAAGATAGAAACACACTTCCTACCGTTATCAAAAGGGTAGCAGAAATAAACTATTGTATGAAAATTTTATACGAAAGTAGAGCATGTCCAAGTGTTTTTGATTAATATTGTGCTGGGGCCTGGGACCAAGAAGGATATAGGTTTACGGTCAGCTCACTGAACTAAATTATACTTCAGTGGGTATAAGCTTCATGAGGCGACCGGTTACCATAGATATAGACCACAGAATATTAAAATTTCAACCCAAAAACTATTTTGGAACCCATTTAAATGTCAAAATTTTTGTAAAATACTAAAATGAATATAAATATGTCATTTGGACAACTGGACAATTTAATCGAAAGTTATGCATCAGAATTACATCAATACCAAGATCTATTCCAAAATCAGGCGCTCGAATTAGAGGAACAATTTATGGAAAGTGTAGAAAATCAGGAAAAGGTTTCGGTTTTCGTCTACGTACGAGGTTTTAATATGTGTTTCAGCTAGCTGAACTTAATTCCAGAATGGGTGTTCTTCAGTGTCTTAATTATCAGGTAGATCAAGAAATTGAAAAGGCAAATGGCCTTCTTGGCGAGTTCAGGAAGAAAATAGAATATCTTGAAACGGAAATCAATCTGCATTGTGAAAACGTGAACGACGAGTACAGAGAGAAACTGTAAGTTGATGTTATAATGGATTATATTGATAAATTAAGTGGTAGGTATGGAACAGCAAACACTGTTAGAACTTTGATTCATAACCGCAAGGATGAGATTGAACAAATGAAGGATAATTCTAGAGTTATGTGTGTAGCAGCAGGTCAAGATCCAGTAAGTATTAAATTTGTCAGTAGGTATAGGTGATCTATTGCGAAAGTTATAAGGTAGTATAGTATAGATGAAGTATGAGGAAAGAGTGGGTACTCTTTGGTATGAGAAATTACGAGAAAGTGTGTGGAGATTAAGGAAGTGTAAGGTAAATAAATATTCTTGCGAAAAGGAAGCCCCCCCCCCCCACGCCACTGATTGAATCAACTACTGCCAAGTTATTATGCGGACGATTTTGTGACGAAAATCATCATGAGCGACGTAACCTTTCTGGAGTACTGACGTTTATGACTACTATGAGTGATTAGTGTCCTGATCGTGTAAACTCCCGTTTTGGCGATTTGGCACGGCCAGCAAGATCGCCCGATTTAACCGTCTTATGGCCGTTTGCACTGACAAATTTAAGCGGAGCTTAGCTTAAGCCTAGCTTAAAATCCATGGCAACGATTATTGAGACAATGGTTGTTATGCTAAGCTCCACTTAAATTTGTCGGTGCAAACGGCCATCAGACTTCTTTCTTTGGGTCTATTTGAAGTCGCGGATCTATGCCAATAAGCGCCATACAATTGCAACCCTTAAGGAGAATATTCGACAGGAATGCGAAGATATGCCGGAAACATTTCCATCACTCAAAATCATATTTATTTCGTAGCAAAGTTATTCAAAAGTAAAGTTGGATGATTAATTTTGCGCCACCTAGACGTCACTGGGGCGAAGGGTTCCTTCCTTCAGGTAGCTAACGGCCAAAAGGCTTTGCAAGGTTCTTCTCTAAATTTTCGTAGAATTTGGAGAGAGAAGAAAAATCCGAGTATTTTGGAAAATCGAAATTCTTCCAAAGTTTATAAATAGTTTTTAAGGTTTCAAAAATCATTCCGTCTAAAATTTCCAAGAGCATTTCACATGAAATTCTAAAAAATATTTCTTCAGTACGATTTGAAGAAGATTTCCAAGCAAATTTTGTAGAAGCTTTTGAAGATTTCTGTTCTATGTCGTAACCATAGTTTAAAGTTTTTAATATGAATTTCTGGGTATGCTGTTGAAGGTTTCTATGAGGATAAATTTTTTATTGAGAATATGCGATAGTGCCCAAAAGCTTTTCAGCTCTTCGTTTTATATTTAAGAATATGTGTACCAAATTTGGTACCAATCGGTTCTGCTGTTTAGCCGGAAGTGAGAGTACAGACAGACAGCCAGACATAACAACAGACAATCGACATCATCGAGATTTTGTCTGATTCGGATTCCTGGTGCTTCAAAACGTGTACTTTCGTCAAAAAGTGGGGTGTCATCCTTTACCCCAATGCAATGGTCGCAATTAAAAATATATTAATAGGTATAATAAAAAATTAAAATGTGTGAATTCAAATTCCTTTTTATCTGTTTTAAAATCCAGTAGTAAGACTTTCGTACTGCTGCCGTAAATGGTCAATTTACACATTTTTGTCTAACAATGTTGGGAGAGTGGAGGGGGGGGGCGTATTTGGAGGACCTGTTAGGTCGGCGACAACTAGGTATGCTTAGCAAGAAAGTAGTTGTTGTCGAGTCGAGATTAGCCTTTACATTCCACCTTGAAAGGTCTGCAAGTAATGACCAAAGGTTTGAGAACCTTTTAATAATGACAAAACACTAACTTCAAAATGAATCACCGATTTTACATTGCAACATGTTTAACATCCATTTTTTGTATGAGAAACTGTCATCAACCACGAACTGCTTATAAACTGTGATATTTTTTTCTACATTTCATTAACATTATTTTCCTCTCCCGTCACAATCATACTGTTTTCCAAATGACCGTGAGGTAGCCCAAGGCCGTAATATTTTTGGTATAAAATGACCTATTGTAGTCATGAACTCTCATTCAACTGACCTTCTAACTAACACTATCTATACGCCTAAAATAGAATATAATTGTTACAACAAACATTAGTCGTTTTTATTATCGTACCAGTTCATGTATAGATCCTTAGTATTACCTGCACGTGAGTATTATTTAATTTAAATGTCTTGTTTATAGAAATTAGAAACCATTGCAAAAATCATGATGAAGTTATTGGAAGCCCTTGAATTTGCCGAAGAAAATTTAGAAAAAATGAAAAGTTACATTTATTGCATCAATTGGAAATACCGGGAACTGGAAAAAATTGCTCCAAAAAGATAAGGCTATAACGTTTTGAATTAGATTACGTACCTAACTATCTGTTGACTTATCCCTTTAATAAATAAAACGTGACTTTCAATCTGAGATAAGATTGTTTATTATATCTCTCGCTTTAGAACAGCCAGTCGCCGGCAAACTGTGTAACCATGACGACCGAAAATTTGAAGATTATCAAACTTGAGGTGAAAGATGTTCGCTTTCCCACATCTTTGGAGGCCCATGGATCCGATGCCATGGTAACTAAATCCACTTATAATTTCTACTCGTTAATGTGTGTTTTACAGCACACCAGTCCGGATTATTCGTGCGCCTATGTTATTTTGAAAACCGGCAAAGGCACCGAGGGGCACGGCTTGACGTTTACGTGCGGACGTGGTACCGAAATTGTCGTTAAGGCCATCCACTCACTTTCGCACCTGGTCGTCGGCCAAGTTGCCTTTGAGATTTTTAAAGATTTTGCCGGTTTTTGGCGAAGTATAACTAGCGAAACTCAGATGCGATGGGTACGTGTTTAAAGTCATATGATCATTTACACATGACAGTGCATAGTTATGAATACATTTGAATGCGCAATGAGACGATGTGCTAAAATTTGTTTTGAATGCAAAGTACGAATTTAAAAACCTGGTCTACGTTATTATAATAATACCTATGTCTGTGGACATGAGAAAATATTTTCGGAATTGAAAAAACCGCACGTACATACTGCCATGAAGGTGGCATAGCAGACATGTTTAGGAATAATATTTTCCCAAGCATTGACATTTGTTTGTATTGTTCATTAAAAAAGAACTGGATATTTTTCGTTTACGCGCTACCAAATGATACCTACACATGTGAGAAATATACCACATGTTGTTCCTCTCTATGCGGCTTCTCACACTCGTGACTTCAGGAAACTTTACGGAGTAGGTTCCTTGAATATTATACATTACACTCGCAATGTTTCTGTTTTAGTAAATTTAGTAAAAAAGTAAGAGAAACTTTTATGCTAGGCATATTGTTGAACATAAAATTAAAAGCTCTGTTAAACTAGGTGCCACAATACCCCTTTTTAATTTAAAAATTTCTAGAGGGTATTTATAAATCGAAGGGGTGCTACAGGAGTGTAATGTTTCCGTACTATCCTTAGTTTTTCACTCATCGGTACTATAAATTATCAAAGTAGGAATAAAAATTGACTTGTTTCAGGTTTTTCTCAATAGTACATAATAACGCTCAAAATGAATTTATTCTATTTGGACCGCTCAGTATGTTCTCCCACATCACTAATCTTCATATTTACGAGTTCATCTCTTATCTGTACTGAAAGGGCCGAACACTCCCATAACCAAAACAACTTTAACTACCAAATAGTCACAGGTAGGAGTTTCGATCAAACATCACGAGTTAGAAACTTACACTTTTTCGATGCACCATAGGCAACCTCTTTCACTTGAATCATTTTTTGCGCATCTTAACCATTAATTGTTTCCTTTTAACAATATTCTCTACACAATGAATTTGGAGGAAACGTTTCAAACAATTCTTGAAAATAGCCGAGTGATGACGTTTCATTTACGAACTTCACTGAATTACCCTTTACCTATCTTTGATCGATATGAGAGTTATCCCTGCCAAACATGGGTGTCAACTGTAATTATTTCCTTGTCTGCTCATAATTGAGTATTTTCAGTTAGTCAACTAGCGAATTAAGAGCTCTTTCACATTATCCGTGTTTTTAACGGACCGGTAAACTGACGGATCGGTGAAATTACCGGATACTGTAGAAACACACTAAATAATATTTGAGCATTCACACTTAGGTATCAACGTCCGTAAAAAAATCAGTCCGGTACTAGTGCACCAACGGATTTTCTACTCGACCATCAATTGGACCGATGTAAAGAAGGGAATGTTCATTAGAAACTCATGAAGGGTACTGGACTCGTCTAGACGCACACTTTACGTCACGACTCATAAGTGTGCGATAAGTACTTTTAGGAGTTACTCTAAAGGTCGAATCGATGTAAAATATTTCCAAAATGGTCACACTTCCGGAGATGCCGGAAGTAGTTAGTAACTTCGTTATCTTAAATGGCAATCTCTATTTTTTATTGCATTTTTGGATTCTACCTGAAATTTCAGTTCCTCTGATATCCACATGTCGTATCTACCATTTATGGCTTTTAAATTATCTGCAACGACTCGGAGAAGAGGTCCCAGTAAGAAGGGTGTGGGAGCCAAGAGGACAGAAAAAGAAAAAGATGGGCAGACCGAGACAGACATGGAACCAGGTGGTAACGAAAATACTGCACGAGAAAGTAGTATCATGGGAAGAAGGGAAGATCTTAGCACGAAATAAGAAAGAGTGGTCCGAGTCCGAGTTTGTGTATGCATACGAACACTAAATGAAGATTGTTACTAGAATGCACTAAATTTTGTTAATTTTGGTTTTCTCGACACCGTAAGGTAAAAGGGGTTTTTGAGCATTTGTTTTTAACTGATTTGTTACCACGCGACTGATATTAGGAACTTAATATGCATATTATATACAGGTTGGTGACTTGCGTAACGCATCATAGGGATTTCAATGTAAAATTCATAGCATGCGATTATTGGCTCTCCAAATTATTTTAGAGCAAAAATGTATTAAGGTTTTTTGTAGAAAGAAATTTTTTACGTTAATCAACCGTATGAGTTTTCAATTTTTTGGATAATAAAGACGGAAAATCGGAAATATAAAACCCGCATTCTTTTCAATAATCTGTGATACCATGGAACTTTATAATACAAAAACTACGCCAATATCCGTCATGCCATGGAATGTCTGCTATAATCAAATTCTATCAAAAAGTATTATATTTAGAACAGCGAATTCAACATAAAGAAAGACCAAATTACTAAAAACGGTTTCCTAATATAACAATTTACAATAAATGTTCGAATAAGTCACCATTAACTGCAAGACAGTAACCAAGTCGATCATAAAATCCATTTCTAACTTCATGCTAATTGATAACTCGATATCTTTTTGTTTTAGAAAATTCCATGGCATCGCAGATCATTGAAAAAGATGCGGGTTTTATTTTTGCAATTTTTCCTCTTTATTATGCAAAAAATTAAAAACTAATACGGTTGATTGGCGTAAAAAATTTTTCCTACAAAAAACTAACACATTTTTCCTCTAAAATAATTTGGGAAGCCAATAATCGCCATGTTATGAATTTTACATTGAAATCCCTATGATGCGTTACTCAAGTCACCACCCTCGTTACCACCCTACGTTTAATAAGGCGAACCTTGAGACTACTCGGCGTCTACATTTACTGAGCATAATCTGGCAAACATACTTACGTAGCTAGATATTGTTTTAATGTTTATTTGAAAATGTTATAAATATTTACGCTCATCAAATCGCAATTGTTTAGATGCTTTCAGAAAAGCACGAAACGAATACCATCGTTTATTGGTTAAATTTCACTCATTTTGAAATGTATCGAAAAAACACAAAAGTCAGAAGTTATTTCTAGATAAGTGCTACACTGTTACATTAGATTATGTTTTTATCTTTTACTTATATTGCACGGTTTTTGCGAGTTATAACACAAAATTTGTCTTATCAAATTAATTTAATATGATGTCATTGACTATTTTTTTGAAATGGCAACCCTAATTTTTTCAATTTCAAACTGGTTTATCATTTTTTGTCGAATTGACGCATCCCTTTGATGTCTTAAAACAAATAAGAAGTGTAGCCCATTCGACGCATTTGAGCGAGGAGAGTATTAGTCGGTTCACTGTTGTGCTGAAAAATTAGACAAGAACTAATAATTTAAAATTTCCCACACACTTAAGTCTTTAAGAATAGCCTTAACAAAATTAGGGTCGCTATTTAAAAAAATAGTTAATGATGTCATCTCAAATTTGGGACACCCTGTATAAAATGTTATTACATAAGAAAGCCCGAGGTTTAAAATACAAATCGGCGTGTCCGCCCATGTTTTCCAAAAATACCTTTAATTTACTGAAGTTATAGACCCCGGCTATATAACAACGATTTTCTACTCCTATACTTTAATTGATAATTAATCTACGACGGTGTCATTATGACAGATTTAGCATGGCCAATTGGATTTCATTACGGCTTTCATAAAAGTACTAGTGTTCTTATGAATTCATCAAAGCACGCAAATGATACTTACTACTATTTGCTATAGCAAACGTGGCAAATTCTATTACCATGGCATCCACTAGTATGAGCACTTATAAATTTTGAATCTTAATTTACGAACACGTTTAGATAACTCAAAAATGCGGATAAAATCTATTTTGACCGTCGTAGATTAAATTTTGAATGATACACGTTCTATTATAAAGGTTGTTAATGAAACTTGTGTAACGTTACGCGCGTTTCATTATGACGTTCATAAACGAAAACATACAAAGATACAAGTTTAGGATCAATAGAAATGCAGCATCACGGGAACACAACGTATATTTTATGAAAATCAAAGTTGCCATAACAATGACAGGTCTAAAACTACCTGCACACAATAAAAATCTCAAATTTTGGACCGCTTTTGAAGCCATCGTAGCATCACCTCTTTATAGCGCATCGTAGTCGTAGAAAAAATAGTGTATGAAACTCGCATTTAATGGCTATTAAGATACTCGTATTCATTACGAAACTCGCCAAGGCTCGTTTCGTAATTCTCATACGCGTGTCTTAATAGCTGTCATTAAAGGCTCATTGCATAATATACTGTTACAGGTCACTTTTACAACAGAGTTCAGTGGTGTTAAAAAATGTATATGTCTTAGACAGGGTGGTCTTCTTTACTCAAAACCTTCCCTATAAAATTTTTAGTTCAACTTGGTATTTAAAGCTACAATTGTTTCGACCGAAAGGTCCCCGGCGGGGAATCTTATCTGAACAGCTGATGATGACAAAGCGTTTTGGTGCATCAATAATTATGAGAATGAGATTATCGTTGAAAAGGAAAAGGGGAACATTTGCTGTTTAGATAAGATTGCCCGTCGATGACCTGTACTCACCAAGATTAATTAAAAAGTCTCTGGGGAAGGTTTTGACTAAAATTGGTCACCCGATCTGCAGCTTTAATATCGACGTTTCACGGACCTCATTTCTCATAGCCGAGAAACCCTCAAGATATACCTACTCCTCAAAAGTCACAAAAGTTAAATGTTTTGATACATCGTCTCTCTGTTAAAATAATAACGCGAACCAATGTCCCATTTTTATTCTTATCGTTAATATTATAGCTCGGTCCAGAAAAAGGCGTCATTCACTTAGCCGCCGGAGCGATTATAAACGCTCTGTGGGACCTATGGGCGAAACTCTTGAACAAGCCGTTATGGCGTCTGCTGGTCGACATGGATCCGGAGCAACTCGTCTCGACCATAGACTTTCGTTACATAACTGACGTTATCACAAAGGAGGAAGCGATCCAGATACTCAAAAATCAACAGAGCAAAAAGGAAGAAAGGATCGCGAAGCTGACGGCGAAAGGATATCCGGCGTACACCACGCAAGTTGGTAAGCGCAGAGTTCGTCGATAACGGAAACGACCAAGTTTTTTTAACCGCAGGCTGGTTGGGGTACTCTAACGATACCATTTTGGAGCTCTGCCAGAAATATTTGGAGCTCGGATTTACTGCGTTCAAAGTGAAAGTGGGCGAAAATCTCCAGAACGATATCAATCGTCTCAAACTCGTGAGGAATGCCATAGGTTACGATAAGCAACTGGTACGTTTTCAAATTAGGGTATGTACCCTCTCCTCTGAATTGTACAACTTTAGATGGTGGACGCAAATCAAGTGTGGGATGTAGAGCAAGCGATAGAATGGGTGAAGAAGTTGTCAGAGTTTAAACTACACTGGATCGAGGAACCCACATCCCCCGATGATATTCTAGGCCACGCCGCAATTTCTAAAGCGCTGAGGCCTTTAGGTATCGGCGTCGCAACCGGGGAGGTGTGCAGCAATCGCGTGATGTTCAAGCAGTTTCTGCAAGCCGACGCTATGCAGTTTTGTCAAATTGACGCTGCTAGATTGGGAGGTGTTAACGAAATTTTAAGCGTTTATCTTATGGCTCACAAACTGGGAGGTGTGCAAGATACATAAATAGTTTGCAATAGCTGATTTGTTATATCTATGGGTTTTCAGTTAAGGTCTGTCCGCACGCTGGAGGAGTGGGTCTCTGCGAAATGGTTCAACACTTGCAAATGTGGGACTACGTTTCCGTTTCGGGCACGATGAAAGGCAGGGTTATTGAGTATGTCGATCAGCAGCACGAGCACTTTCTTCATCCCACTTTTGTCAAGGACGCGTGTTATCAAGTGCCGAAGGTTAGTAAATGTTCAATGAAGGCTGTGGCGAGATAGTTGCGATGTTCATGTTTTAGGCGGCTGGGTACAGCGTAACATTTTTACCGGAAACTATTGAAAAGTACGAATATCCCAGTGGCTCAGAATGGGAACGCATGTTTTCCCAAGGCTTGTTTCACGACCCACGAAAAGTGCTTAAAAGGATGTCTTCAGCATAATTTTATAGTCGTTTGTTTATAGTATACATTAGTGAGAATTATAATGTGAATTCCTAATATTTTGTGAAAAAAAAACTGAGTACTGTATGTCGAAGTTTACTATCGTCAATGGTGTAGATATAAAATAGTAACTTATGAGCGAGCAAAAAGTTATATGTACTGATCCTAAACTTAATCTATTTCCCATCTAAAGGAAATTTGGATACTTCTACAGCCTGTCCGCCAATAAGATCTAATAATATCGCTTATTTTGTTAAAAACCAACAACTAGACAAATAAATTTTTTTATTTGCATATATTCTCCATAGTCCATATCTTTGTTAGTAGTCTATATTCAAAGGTCCATATAAAACTGACCAGCCATTCAATCTACAGTGCTATTTATTAAGAACTAGACGTAGGGATTTACGTGTATTGTTTCTCACTATGTTTACTTTCAAAAGACAAAGGGCCGAATGCACAAACAATAAATAATCAGGCCGTTTGTTAATCAGTATGATTAAATTAAACCTTCGATTACGTTCCATCGGTATGCACACAACAACAAAAAAATTTTTTTTACATTTTAGTAAGGAACATTATAAACTAGAATGCAGAGTGACGAGCTCTCAGATACTTCCACATTTCTGAAACATCAAGCCCATGAGAATTCGTCACAGAAGATTTCATTTCCGAATCAATCACCAAAAAAACCAGTAAGCAATTGAAGCACTTTTATGATATCATAAAACGAAATGCGAGAAAAGCGGATGCAGCGAGCAATGTAAGCAATGTTTATTGTTTATAAATTCATTACGGTATTCAATTTGGTACGTTTAGTTAAAAAGAAAGGTATCGAGACAACAAGATATAGAAAAGCTTCCAGAAGAAGCTTTACTTGTCAAAAAGTGTGAAACCTAACCTCTTGTTTCCAAGGTAGGGAGAAAGAAAACTGGACGCGGAATCGAAAGCAGCATCACCAGCACAACGAGTGCTATCGATAATGAGTGTTATGGTAAGGCCTCCTATTATGTTACAAATCAAAGTTTGTATCGCTTAATAAAAACATTATTTTAAATATGGCGAGTCGTTATTGCTATTGGAACCTTCCGCCCCAGCAATGATCCTTGCAGTGGCTCAAAATACCTACCCTTTTCATTTTCTTCCACACCTGACCGTCAATGTCCAAAACGTGGAATAATTGCTCCAAAACGGAGACCCCAAATCCAAAACAAGAGATCAGTTCAGCAATTTAAAAAAAACTACCACCTTCAAATGTGCAAGAATGCTTGACTGGAATACTCCACTCTCCTCATGGAGAAGAATTTTAGAAAACGCGTTTACAATTAAAAAAATGAATATATATCTAATGTTAGAAACTATTAGAATCTAGGGCCTAATTATTCTATAAAAATTACTTTTCACAAGCTCAAATCGAAAATTATGAACAAACTGTCAGTTTAATCAGTCGACGAGCACCGGTTAAATTTTGCCGTGATTAGTGGCTGCTTAACGGCACCGTTAATGCTAAATCTTTTTTCTGCATACGACTTTTTTTTAGTTTAATCGGGGTTTAACAGTTCCGTTAAATTAACTAATTTACTCAAGGCAAATGTCATTTTTTTATCGAAACAAATGAGTTAACAGCTCTGTTAAGCTTTTATTAACTTTTGTGCATTCGACCCAAAATCTCTTCTAAAAGGCTCCTAATTTTAGGCATCTAAAATAACTTTTTAAAACAAATAAACATCTGGCTGTCATTTTAATTAGTTTGAATATTGTTGTCTTGACTTAACAGAAAATAAATCTCTTACGTTCCTTAAACTGTTACCGCAACTGTACCAATTGACAATATCAAGACATCAAGTTTTGCTTCCGTTGAATACCTCGCACACGAACGGAAATAAAAATACCGAAGCCAAGCCAAAGCAACAATATTCAAATGAATTAATGTGACAGCCAGATCTTTGTTTGTTTTAAGAAGTTATTTTGGTTGCATAAAATTCGGTGTTCTTTAGAAAAGTTTTTAGACATAGGGAAAAACAATATACATAAATCCCTATGTCTACTTGTTAATAAATAGTACTGTATATGGACAGTAACAAAAACGCCGATGGAATTAAAAAACTTCATCGAGTAACCCCAAGTTGTTGGCAATTTCGAAGGAAAACATTAAATTTTGATGAGATGCGAATAAAAAATTCTTACATGCCGTACATTTATAGCTGGTGCGAACTGAAAACTAAGCTGAGCCTTCAAGTATACTTGAAATAAATATGTACACAAGAAATCTCGCATTACAACGCAAGACTCATATCGCCTTGCAAGACTCACATCGCCTTGTAATACGATAAGATAATTTCACAAAATGCAGTATGTATATCAAAAAGCCAAAAAGTCACCATACGTGTTAAAAATGTCGTACAGTCTGTTCAATTAGGTTGTGTGTCATATGCCGTTGTTTAGTCGCCTCTTACGACACGCAGTGTCTTCTGCGGTAGGGTTATTCTTTACCGACCCTACACGGGTAAAAGGAATGTCCAAAAGATAGAATTACAAAATTATCACAATAAAGGCCAATTCCACCACCTATTAAAATTAAACGGACATTTAAATGGTTCCATTCACCATGGAAGGTTACATGTTTCTTAAATTTACCAGAAACCACTAGACGCACCTATCTGGAATGTCAAAACTTCTAAGGGTAAAGAATAGCCAGAAGATGATACAACAACAATCTATTTACCATTCGTGTACATAAGGGATAATAAGGTTTTCGCTGCACCCTGGCCAACACGCATACTCCAAGATGAGATGCTATCACCACTAAGTAAGTTTTTAACGCCTACTCAATGGTGAAATAGTAATGGCGGCGGCATTTTATTAATTTTCATTTCGGATTCTGCGATGTCGGCTTATTCTTACCAAGCTGTTCTTAATTTGCAGTGTTGCAGAAGTAACTTAACACGACCTATTTCCAGCGTGTAATTCAAAACCAAAGCCAGACAACGAGAAATCAAACCCAATTTAGAAAAAATAATTCATTGGCAAACGTGGGAGAAATGACTTATTAATAAACAACTATAACATTTATTATGTGTACAATTGTGCAAGTCACTGAACGAATGAGCTCAAACGCGCATAACAAGAGAGAGCAAACTTCCAAGTCACTACAAAATTAAATGCTCGCTCGCAACTCGAAAACTGTGATATTGCATAATGTCCTTTTTTTTATTTGAATAAAGGTCGAAGTAAAGAATACCGTAACTCTCTGGTAGAACGTCTGAAACCTTAAAAGAAAAAATGGACAAACATAAAATATATAATTCAATGGTAATTGTTTACAAAACGCCGGCCGTGTCGCCATATAACTCTTCAGAATACAAATTCTACCTTAAAATGGTTCCGGTATCAGGTGAAAAGAGTCTTATAAAATTTTTTTTTAGGAATTCCGGTAAAAATTTTGGTAAAATGAAGACTAACATTGAATCTACACCGCAGCAATTTCGAGTTTATAATTTTTGAGTATGTTACAAATTAAACGAATGATCTTCATATGTTTACTTGTAGCTCTATAAAATATATGGAGGGTATTATTAAATTAACGACATCAACGTGATAGTGTCTTTAAAGGCGAAATACAATTATTACTTTAAAGGTAATCCACTGCCACGCCGTTAACAAGATGGCAACACCTTTGAATTTTGAATCTACGGCAACATCATTGGCCACAAAAATACATGAACCGAATTACCTACAAGTAAAACTACTAAAACTACTAAAAGCCCTTTATCTACAGTTGGTTACCTGCTATGTCAAAAACATGATGTTCATTAAATTGTAGGTAGCCAAACTAAATTAACGCAGTTAAAGTAGGCCCCTAATAAAAAAAATTAGCAGGCACCAATTGATAAGAAAGTTAATCCAAGTGAAATAGTTAAACTAAACGTCTTTAAATGGTTTTCCGATGCGATCTTGAAATTCTGCACCTGAAAACGAATACCTACCGATTCAGCGAAATTCGACCTATTCTGTACACGTACAACCCCATTACACCCAATTGGTTTCTATTTCCGCTTCTACTTATATAAAGGTACTACTCTAACATTGTTAAGAGTAGTTTTTGCGATACGGTCGTCATGGCACCACTGCGATACCTAGGAGTAATAACGATTATCCTAGGGGTGACGTACGCGCAACCCTCCGCAGTTGAAGTTTTCCAAGACATCTATCACACGTGTCTCTCCAGTTTTTCGTTTAGCTGTGTTAAACCGAAATCGTTGAGTTGGTTGACTAAAGTGTCGGGTGAGTCTGTGATAAAGATAACGGATGATTTACAAATTGTCAAAAAGGACGATCCAGATCGAGATGAGGTAGTATTTTAGAATGAGACGCGTGTTTTAATTACGTTGATAGGGAAGAAGTGGAGCCAGAGATGTCTTTGATATCTTCGAAGATTTTATTCAATCGCATCGATTGGTAGCGAAAGTGCCACAGATACTGCGAATGGATGGTCCTTTGGGAAGCTTACTGCCGCGCGCTTTTAAACCTGAAGATCTTTCAGTGCCTCTTGCTAGCACAGGTGAGAGCTTACCAACCCGCTTTCTCGTTATGTTCGTTTTTGTTTTGTAGGGCGATCAAAGACGGTAAAGAAAATTATCGTCCCGTTCCTTTTGGGATTGAAGTTTAAAACGGCCGTCCTCGTTCCGTTAGCGTTGGCCTTAATTGCGCTCAAGACTTGGAAAGCGCTCACGCTTGGCCTACTCTCCTTAGTCTTAACAGGAACTTTATTAATTTTCAAATTACTGTCGCATGGAAAGGTACAATGTTTACGTGAGTGAGAGCTTGGAGTTGAGTACTTCGGTTCTAGGTAACCACCTACGAAGTAGTGCACTTTCCGCATCATCATCACGTGGACCATCACCATCTCGAGCATCATCCTCCTCCACCGGGATGGGATCATCCGGGTTATGGAAGAGAATTCAATGGACAAGACTTGGCGTATAGCGGTTACACAAATCAGAATTGAGGAAGATAATGTTTTGTATTTATTTTATTTATTGCTAAATTAAACTTTTGTTATGAATCTCGCTTCTTTAATACGATCTACTACCGTGAAAAATAAGAAATCAAGCTCTAAGAAGAATAAATCAACCGGAAGGACTTTCTGTATAAATAAGTACGCACGTAATTTCTAAATTCTGTACATTAGTTTGCACTTTTATCGAAAAGTGGGTATAGTGGTGGGGCGGTTTACGAGTGTCTTCCATTGAGATCAAGGATTTACTGTGCACATTCATATGCAATTCGTTAACTCATTTCCAAGTACAATTACGCAAGAATTATGTCGTGTTCAAGTAGTGTTAAATACTTCCAAAAGATGAAACTATGAAATCTCTTCTTACGGTTAAGTCGATTTGGAGAAGAGAAGGAACAGCAGAAATTGATACAACCAGACCATCTCTTCGTCATATGGGTCAACCAATACCGATAGCTACCAATTCTGAAATTTTATTTTATCGATTATCGTGATCGGAAGAGAAATTTTGCATTTATACATGGAATTACCTTTGTATCTAAAACCATGTGTTGCAAAATTGGGTTAGTATTAAAAAATGAATGTACCTAGTCTTGATTTTGGAAAAAGAAGTAAGTAAATTTAATTATGTGAATTTGTTAAAATTTTCCACAATTGGATAATGCAAATTCACCAAAATTATTGTCGTAGTCATTTAAGGTTTATGGAACACTAAAAAAAGGGGTGATTCTGTTTCTAGCTGTTTGGATTATTATTAAATGCGGGCGCATGGACAGACGGACCAAACATTTTTACAGTGTGCTTTCCTCATATAATAAACATAAACTTTCGGATACAGCAGAATGCAGATCCTATGTAGTGACAGATACGTGAAACAATAGTACGGCAAAAATTCACCCACAAAATTGCTGCATTCATTTTTTAGGCGTGAAAACTAACCCTTCTTGCCAAAATCCACAAATCATACATTAACGGCCGGTATTATAAAGCATACTTAACTATGTTGTCAGGCTAACAAGGTTGTTAAGGCACGTGATTTGATGTTTTTGCAATGACTAATGCTATTCTTTAAAAAAACATCCAATCACATGCTTTACCAACATTGTTAGCCTGACAACTAGTTAAGTATGCTTTATAATACCGACCGTCAGAGCTGGGCAGAATACTTTCAAAAAGTATTTGAATACTAAATAGTAAATAAATAGTAAATACTTTACACAAATCAAAGGTATTTGAATACTAAATACTTTTACGTCCAGCGAATACTAGATACAGATACATTGAAAAGTATTCAAATACTTGTCACTCAAATACATTAAAAATTTAAAAGTCTTAATACTACTTAAAAAATCAAGTTATACTATGTATGGGGTTAGCTTTTTTTATATTTCTATTGTTATATACAAATTTAAGGGGAGTAAAAGCGTAATATTATTATTATATTATTATATAGGAGGGACCTACCAGAACCTTTCTTATACCAGTTATATCCTTAAGAATACGTGTACCAGTTTTCAAAGCGTCGTGCACATGATACGTAGTACGTACGCCTTTCTGAAATTAATCCTGGCGATTTGGGAACAGATCCATTTTTGACCATCCGTTTGTCCGTGTGCATGATAACTTGTTTAGAAACGTGCGATCGCTCTGAAAATTGGTACACATGGTCTTAAGGATATAAGAAAGGTCCCTATTGTTTTTAAGTTACGTAGACTATCGAATCGAAAAGTTTCACTCCAGGATCGTTCGGTATTCAGTTGTATCGGATTTTTATATTTGATTTTGTGACAATGGAAATTTTCCCTAAACATTTCTAAATTGTTCTCAAATATTTGAACTTAAAAGTACTGCCTTTTTTTGAGGCCGGAAAAAAAATGTCTGAAATCGACCGGAAAAAAACATTTTCTTATAGAATTTGGCCCGTAGAATCCATAATTTCAAACAATTTGAAGACTGGGCTACTAGAAGTTACAGCCCTTTGAATTTTTTTTCGAAATTTGTTTTTTGTACATAACTTTATATTGAGAATCGATATCGAAAAAGCACGAATTGTTTTGGATTCTACGACCGGAAAAAAACATTTTCTTATAGAATTTGGCCCGTAGAATCCATAATTTCAAACAATTTGAAGACTGGGCTACTAGAAGTTACAGCCCTTTGAATTTTTTTTCGAAATTTGTTTTTTGTACATAACTTTATATTGAGAATCGATATCGAAAAAGCACGAATTGTTTTGGATTCTACGCACCAAAATTAATAAGAAAAAGTGTTTTCCCGAGAAATTTTGGTGCAGTCGATTTTTGGTAAAGAAGGAAGGTTATGCACTGCCTTTTTTTGAGGCCCGAAACAAAAATTGTCTCAGATCGACCCGGAAAAAAAAATTTCTTATAGAATGTGGCCTGTAAAATTCATAATTTCATACAGTTCCAAGATTGGGCTACTAGTTCAAAAGTTACAGCCCTTTGAATTTTTTTTCGAAATTGGTTTGTAGTCTATAACTTTTAATTGAGAAGTCTGATCGAAAAAGTACGAATTGTTTTGGATTCTCGCACCAAAATTAATAAGAAAAAGTGTTTTCTCGAGAAATTTTGGTGCAGTGGATTTTTGGTAAAAAAGGAAGGTTATACACTGCCTTTTTTTGAGGCCAGAAAAAATTGTCTCAAAAGGCCTGGAAAAAAAATTTTCTTATAGAATGTGGCCTGTAGAATCCATAATTTCAAACAGTTCCAAGATTGGGCTACTAGTTCAAAAGTTACAGCCCGTTGAATTTTCTTTCGAAATTGGTTTCTAGTCTATAACTTTTGATTGGTATTCAAATCCTATGCAAAGTATTCGAATACTTCTCAAAGTATTCAAATACCTTGCGAAGTATTCGAATATTTTACGAAGTGTCCAAAGACTTTATGCGAAGTATTCGAATACTAAATATTTGTGAAAGTATTTGAGTTACAAATACTGCTTCCATAAAAGTATTTAATTGCAAAGTATTTGAATACTTTAAAGGATTTGAATACTAAAAAGTTTTTACAAAATCGAATACTGCCCAGCTCTGCCGGCCGTATAACTTACGGTGAGTAAAATTTAGGTCACATGGAATATTATTTCAGAATATTTCAACCCTTAAAAATTAACAGCTATTGTGGTTTAATAAAAAAAAAGTATCTACCTACAACAGTTATGTGTCGTGTCGTTGAATGTGTGCCATGCATGATGGAGCAGGGTCCCAGTTTTCTGGATTGGTAGAGGGGGTTCAGTTAACTGCCCTCGCGCTGACCGGCTTTGACACTATACGATTCTTTATGGGGTCAAACGAAGTTTTAATTGGTTTGTCGAGTTGCTACGCTCCGGTAATTGGATGGAAAATATTGATCTACCTTCTTGTATCGTGATCAGAAGAGAAGTTAAAGAAGACCAAGTTAGTGCAATACGCTTTGGTTAAGTGCGTTTTTACTTCGCAATTAGTTGTTTTAAGATTTCTTGATTTTGTTTAATTGTAATTGAACGCTTATGCGTGGTATGTAATCGGACGATTTTGTAGTCCATTTTTGATGATGGTCATGATGATTTTTATGATTTCATTTGTGTGTGTATGATAAATTTTGTTTGTTTGAAATCATGTAAATCGTGTGTTTATTTCAACCCTTTAACGATTCAGATAGATATCTCATGCTTAATGATTAATTATGATTAATTTTGTTGATCCGTGCCCAAAGTTCATTTCCGGTGTTATCAAAATTTGTGTAAGTAACCCTTTTGGAATTGTAAGATTGATTGTGACCATTATTTGCCTTAGAATTTGAAACTTGAAGTCAAATCATCCTATTAACAATTGTAAAAAATCATTTTTAAAATGTCATCAAGTACGGGCAATTCTTTAATTTGAACCCCATACAATGAACTATCCTTTTTAAAATCTTCATTTTAGAATTTTTCGGAAAGCACAGATTTGTAATTAATCTGTGCTTAAAGAGATGTTCCTCTTCCTCCACCCCTCGTTTTTTATGAGCTAGCTAGAGCAATATTTGCTGCAAAATTCATGCAAGATTGCATGTATCTTTTGTGGATGTTTGTTGGGTACATTTTATGAAAAAAATCATTTTTCTACTGAACTCGTACGCCTCCTAGCGGCAAACCTACAAACTCGAAAATAATTTCCAGCGATTTCCCTTTACCTCTTTTAGCTAAGCTGTGCAATTAACGGTTCCATAGATATGACATGTGACCTTTATTAATAAAACACCATGTACCTCCCGTTGTTTTGAAGAGAAGGACATTCCTCACGAAATTCGCTTTTCACTTTTGGCTCCAATTCTTTAAAAATTAGGTCAAACTTCTAGAATGTATTAATAACCAATATATAAAGAAAACTGAAAAACAGGTAACCACTAATTTTAATTAGGGTAGTAATTAGAGGGTTGTTTTCGCTGATAAAAGTAGGGTTTTCATTTTTGTCATAACTCGCTCAATTTTTAAGCTAAATAATTTTTTTAAATACTTTCAAAAATATTTTATAAGTTTTCCTGAAAAATGCATAGTTGTTCCGTTATTTGACTTTCAAACTTTCTAATTTGGCGTTTTACGAACAAGAGTAAACGTTTAACAAACCATAGCCCGGGTCATATTGGTCATACAGCTAATAGCAAGTTTTTCACGAATAACCAATTTCCTTTTCTATGAAAAACTGATATCGATACAATTTGATAGAATGGAAATTAGTCGTCACTACCTCGAATCGCTTAGATATTATTAATAAATTCCATTCCGACTGTCACCCCTTGCGGAATATCCGAATATCTAAAACTTTATATCGCGTCTCTGAATAATTATATTATTGGCCCCGCATGAAGCAGGATGTTTATAAATTTGTCCGACAATGTAAAACTTGTACTGCGTATAAAAATCCTCTGCTTCTCGGCCTGGTGTAATGGGAAGTTATAAGAATAAATTAATTTTCCACTTCAAATGTTGAATATTGATTGGCCCTCTTCCCAGATCTAAGAAAGGAAATTCGTATCTTTTGGTCGCGGTCGATTGGCCTTGCCCAGAACTGCTGCATGCAATTAAATATCTTTTGAGCAGATCTAGATTCTTTGCCAGGACAAAGGTGTTTATACCCACTAGTGCCCAAGGATTCACAAGGCTTGTATTCTTATGACATATTTAGTTTATAATTTTATTTACTTTTAGACACTTCTGAAAACGGTATCTGAGTAAATTCCATACGTTGCTCAAATGCGGCATAAGAAAGCGACTTCTTGAGAAGATTTGGTCATGAATTATTACTTACTTCGAACAGGTCAACCTATTGGGTTGAATACATCACATTAGAGACCTTGATGCTTTAAAATGTATCTGTCACGAACAAATGAAACCAAACAATTAAAACCCAAACCGCGACGGAAAATAGAAAATGCAGTAGACTGGATGCAAACAAAATCGTCCAAAATTTATTTAGACAAACGAAAGGGATACTGCTCTAAATACCTGTAAATATTTACCGCCTGGCCTGAATATTTAATGAACGTCCTTCATTACTGGTCTGCAATCTGTATTTACAGTTAAAGAAGAAACTTTTTTTATCTATCGTTATAGAACATTCGATCGGGAAAATTAATATTCAATGAACGCTCCTGTTCGCTTTTAAAACATCATTGTTTTAATTCCAAATCAGATTTTAGAAATGCGTCCACTATTCTCTATTCAAGGGACACTTCCGATTTGCAAATATAAATATCGAGGGTGTGTTCCAGTTGTCATTAGTTGTGTAGAAGTTTTCAAGCAATCAGCATTATGGCGATTCTTAAAGTGTGTTTTGTTTTAACGTTAATTGCGTTCTGTACAGCTTCCCCTGCATCCAGTACTGGATTTTGGAAAGATACCGCTCTGGATAAAGCAGTTGACGAGATGCGATCACTTTGTTCAAATGACGATCCGATCTCGTGCCTGAAATATAGATTCATGTCACTTATTGATGGTTTCTTCAAAAAGGACACGTTTCAGGTGAGATCTTTTAATATCAAACGCGACGATTACAAATTTCGAGCAGATTTTAGACAATGTTGAAATCAAACGCAACAGTTACCAAGGGAATGAAATAAGTGGTAGAAGCGAAAATACTTTAGAAGATGGTGTCGAAGGGATCATCCAAAGTCATGATGTAACCTTTAAGCTTCCCTTTGAAGGAGCGTCTGTTACTGTTGCTTCTGGAAACTTAGATAAAGATGAAATTGACTTGAAACTCCGCTTGTCAGATGAAGCCAGAGGTAAGTGCAACAATTTGAACGATCTTGGCTATAGTGTGCAACTTACAGGTCGTAAATCAAAGCTGAAGAAAATCATTGTTCCTATTTTCATCTTCATTCTGTTGAAAGCGATGACGCTCATCCCCTTGGCATTGGGAGTTCTCGGTCTGAAAGCATGGAACGCGCTTCAGCTTTCATTCTTCTCGTTCGTCGTCTCGATCGCCCTAGCCATATTTCAATTGTGCAAGAAGATAGCTGCAGACAGCCACCCTCATCACATAAGCCACGGTCCTTGGGACGCGGCCTACGCGAGATCTTTCGACACGCAGCCTCAAGCTGCATTTGTCAACGAAGAGGAAGCACAAAAGTTAGCGTATTCCGGATATTTCTAATTCAAAACTGATGTCTTATTTATTAAATTTATTTAAATAAATGTCTATATTTCGTAATATATACTGTGCCATTAATACTGATAAGCGTAAATTAAAAGTCTTTATTGTATCCACAACAAGATACTTCGATACTTTCAAGGGATGAATTTTGCATGTCTTTGATGCTAGAAACCAATTCGAAAACTAATAATCACTTGAATTTAAATGAGTTTAATCATTTACCTGTACTGCCTCAAGGCTAATTAATATTCCCATCCATACTATAAAACTTTTGATAATAAATCAGCTGATGGGTTTCATATGGTAGAACCGTGTGCTTTCTTGGATGGTTGAAAGATTAATAAAATGGAAATTTGTTTGTAGAAATACGTTGCGATTCCAGATTCAGTTGTAATTTGTTATGTATAGGGTAACACTGTTAACGATATGTGAATTATTAAAAAATAGTATGTAATGCTACATTAGGAAATGACTGTCTGTCTCTTCATTTGCAAAGTACTCAGAACAATCTATCGGTTCGATAATCGTGTGTCATTCATCCATCCTTGCAAGATTTGTAAAGATTTATTATTTTCATAGAGTAATAAATCGCGCATGTGGCGTAATTTTCATATATATTTCTCCAAAGACAATTTATATACAGGGTGTTCATTTGAAAACTTCCCATTATGGATTTATCGAAAACCACTGATTAAAGAAAAAACGCCGATACAAGTCAAAAGATTTGTCAAGGGGGACAACTTTTTAACCAAAAACTACTTCACTCCCTTTCACCCTCTGCCCCCCAGGGTCATTCCCTTAAAAATTTTAAATGAAACGTGGTATCGAGCAATATCTTGTTTAAAAGGCCTTTCGAAGTCCTTTATTTTGACGTGATTTTTTAAATCGGTCGATTAGTTTTCGAGAAAATTAGAAAAATCTTTATTTAATTTATTTAATCGATCTATCTATTAATTTGTTCAGATAGAAAACAAAAACAAACGAAAATATCACTTATTTGTTGCTATGGAAAAAAGAATTTAATTTGCTGTCACTTCCCTTTGTGACAATCCAACTTCCAAAATGGTTGACACACTAGCCGAAGGAGTGGGAATTATTCTAATTATTTAATACAAAGGTTAGTTATAATTATTAATTATTGTTTTAATTTGCGCTTGTTATGTTTTATTTTGTTTCAAGGTCAACTTGGATGCATATAAATATTGCAATTTAAATTGAAAATGAACGTATTTATTTTTTCATTTTATTTGATAATATCGTATAATAATTATGTACATACACACAAACGGAAAAAATTATCCTTTAATTAAAAGTTGCCTAAAATAATCTAAAACGTCCACATTTGATGGAATTTTGACATATTCAAAAGACGATTATAGCAACAGCCACCTAGCTCAAACTAGGAAGCTAAAAACTTGAATGGAACAATGCGACACGTGACAATTTGAGTGATAGATTTTTTGATTCTAAAAACAACAACCCCAACAAAAATGTATGAAAATAAAAATAAAAATTTATATTCGCCTAAAAACTCTCACGGATTATTTCCCTCCAAAAAAGTAATTCTTTAAATTTCAGCAACATACTCGTCTCAAGAAAGTCCACCTCCACAATGTCTGACCCTTTCTTAAATTTTTGCCCCCCAAATATATTTACCCAAGACCCAGTCTCAGAATGTACTACATATAACCCGTAATATGCGCCCCAAAATAATATTCCAATAAGTGCCTCGTTCCGAAATATTTACTCAACACAGAAAACTCGATCAGAAAAAAGGAAACTTACCTCCTACTCCTTCCAGGAGCATCTTTCAAGGAAAATTCACCCCTACAATATACGCCCTCGGAAAAACCACTTGACCACGTCGCCCGTTCGTTAAAAGTTGAAATACAAACTTGAAATTTGATTTACAGTCATAATCGAAAATTGCAAATTGAAATAAAATAATTTCAAGATGGAGACGCTTCCGTAAATACCGCAAGTGGTCGCCATCTTGGGTTTGTTAAAAATAGAAACATACAATTTTCTCTTTTTTCTAAATGCGCTATTTTGTTCTGAATTCAAGATTTACGTACCTACCCATCTGTCATTGTTATTGACATAATGTGAATTTGTCTCTAAAAATTTGAAGATGAAAGTGTCCATTCAAAAATTCATATCTCTTAATCCGTTCAAGAAAAGTGAGTGCTCTCTTTTATAATCGAATCGTTAAAAGTCTAAGGAATTTTTTTAGAGGAAAAGTTTCCAGGGCTGCAGCGATTTTTCAAAGGTGGCAATCAAAAAGTGTCAAAAACTTCAGGTTTTTTAAATTGCAACTTTGATGTCAGCAACATTTTGTATGCCTACAGGGTTTGTATAAAAAGTATCGGGAAAAGTACCTATCATAAAAGTAGATATAAGTATTTTAGATATTGCTACAAAATGTTAAAATCCTTCGTAGTGCTCCCCTTGAGCGTCGACTCACTTTTGCCAACGTTTTTTCCACGACTTGAATGCTTCTTGGTAAGCGGATTTCGGAAGGTCACTTAGGGTCCCATGGGGGTCCTTTGAAGAAGGATTTCACTTTTGGGAATAGAAAAAAGTCTGCGTGTATTTGGGAAAGCGGCACCACCACAGCATCGTGGAGTGAAATGTTAACTTTTTTTCGCAATAAAGCTACTCATGTTGAGTGAGCTCTCCAATGGGCGTTTAATGAGTGATCGTTCAAAATTCTTGAGAATTCCTCTACTCTTTGCTGCGTCAGATGAGTTCCCGTCAAGTATACGAATGGTAACCATTTTTTGGGACCCTTAGCGAATTTCGCTGATATGAATAAGGTAGAGTAATATCCAAACCTGATGCATTGCCTTAGAGATGCTATTAAAATGACGAGACGATTAAAACTGACGCAAGGTGTCTTGTTGCTCCATGACAATACACCATTGCACGAGTCCAGACTTACCAAAGCTGCTGTAGCTGATTATGGCTTCGAAGAAATTGAACATCCGCCTTATAGTCCAGATCTCGCACCCACAGTGGCTATTTTTTGTTCCCCAATCTCAAAACAACACTAAGGGGGACAAAATTTAGGGAAAATGAAGAACTTATCGCAGGTGTTGAGGGTCTTTGGCGGAAAAACCAAATTAATACTTGTAATACTGGATTAAAGATATGTTATTGAAACAGTGTTATTCTGTATTCAAAAGCAGGGGAACTATTTCGAGAAATACAATTTTGTTGTTGCTCTAGGTTTTTGGTTTCATGCCTAGTCCGGGAATATAAAACGACCATCGTACAATAAAATTGGAGACATTTCGACTTAGCACGGTCCAGGAAAATTTTGTTCTTTATGCAGGAAATGTTGAATGTTCCCTGACACACTGCGTGTGTAAATAAGTCACTATGATCGATTCATGTACTCATTTTCTGCAACTAGTGAACAAAACATAATGACTATTAAAATCGTAACCTTCACTTTCAAAGTACAGTGAGTTTTGATTTCAAATAAGTACGCAGAGAAGATTTGCATATAAATGAGAGAATTAACTTTCAATCGATCTATTTACCTCCATTTAAATAATATAGAATAAACCTACATGGAAAGTATATATGCTTAAGAATTGCACCGGAACAACTTACGGAACTTTACCATATATAAATATCGAATATGCTATTCGGGTATCGATTAATATACAAAGCACACATGATCCCCTAACCTGTTAAGCTAATATATAACCGCACCCACTCGCAATTAGACATTGAATCACTTACACCATGCGGAGTGTAGCACTACTGATTATGGCTGCTGCTGTAGCGTCAGCGTCGGCGTTAATCGGGGGTGAAATTCGAACGGGTAACCAACTGTTATCATCTGTTGTGTCAAACTGTGCCGATATGGGATGTGTAAAAGAGCATGTTATATCATATTTGGATACCATGATCGACAAAGATTATACGAGCGGTAGACAATTTAAGGTAACAAATTTACTACAGTACAAAAAGTTGAAGAACTGTAACAATTTCAGAATATGGATGCAGCTATCCTTAAGAGAGTGTCACGAATTATCAAAACGCACGAATTCCGACTAACCCTGCCTGAATTTATGTTCGACAAGACTCAAGTGGTGTACAACCCCAAAAGTGGCTTGGATGTTGTAAGTACCGATGGAGAAGGTAAGACGATTCATTTTTAAAACCAAAAAAGGCTACACCCCCATAATTTAGAAGGCCGAGGACTTCTGAAAAAGAAGCTTTTGCTGCCAGTGCTGTTACTTCTGAAACTGAAAATGAAAGCCTTACTGCCAATCTTCGTCGCGCTAATTGGTTTAAAATCGTTCAAGGCCCTCATACTCAGCAAACTCGCGATCACTATCGTTCTTGGATTCATCATTTACACGCTTCTTACGAAATCAGGTGAGTTATTATCAGAACGTACCGAAGCAAAGTGTAATGTGGCACAGGTATGCCAATGCCGATGAGTATGGCACCGGTTGAACCGCCAGCCCCCATTTACGGCCCCCCGGCTTCAACTGCTGCACCAAACTCGTACGAGCCTAGTTGGGAACCCAATTCCGGTGGACCATATTCTAGAGTGTGGAACAGCGCGAACGATGCTCACAATTTGGCGTACTCCGCCTATTACCCTGGTCCCGTAAGCAGTTCCACGGCGGGACCGTAAAACTACACCCGGTAAATAATTTATTGCCTTGTGTAAATATGAAGACATTATTCCATTGCGAGATGGGATTTATACGAGAACTGAGTATTCAAAAGTTATTGTAATTTTTTACACCATGCTTCTTGTTAATAAAAATTTATTTATTGTACGTGTTTTTACAACTGGAACAGCCGTTACAGCATCCCCGTTGTTTGGTAGGAGGATTTAAATATGAAAAATAAGACTAATGTAACGTGATCAATAAGTTAGAGAAAAAGGCAAAAATGACCCTATCCAGGGCCCGCAGCTGTTTTATTGCATTATTAGCGAGTGACCAAAAATTGAACAAGGGCGTTCTAATGGTGGAATAAGCTAAGGGTGAAAAGAGAATATAGTGAAAATACAAAAAGTGCGAGAGCGCTCTAAATGGAGGGATAACTTCAAAAAGGGAAAGAAAACGTATATTGCGGAGCCGAATTTCTCAGGTCAACAGTTATGCAGAGTTTTATACCCCCAGGAACAAAATTGACATGAACGGATACTTACACGTACAAAGAAGAGAGTCGACATAGAAACATTCTAGGAAACATCCCTGGATTTAAAGGTAGGCACCAAGCGGCGTGTTAATTGATGCGCTATAAAACCTCAAAATACGGGAGGCTTCTGTAATAATTAACATTTAAGGGCTTATTGAATACCCATGTGGGGGTAAAGAAGTTCAGTCAGAGTGCTGTGGTTATCAATCGTTTGTCGCTGAAGAGAAGTCTTTTTTAAGGTCTTCAAGTTATCAGTTAGAAATTGTAATTACAACGAAGTCCGTGTCACCTAAATCGAGTTTTATGTGAAGTCAAAAAAATTAAGTTCCGACGCATCTTCAGCTTGGTGTTTGTTTTATGTGTTAGTGCACCTGTTTATTGAAAAGCGTATTTATGACCGGGCGATAAATAGTAATTACAACTTTATTTAAATATAATTTGTTTAATCGATCGCTTGTTGCGTGGTAGGTACATGTGTTTTTCTGACCCTGAGCGCCAATTTTTCTTTCAGCTAATTTGATTGATTTATGTAGAATAAATTTGTTTTATTTGTAAGTGGTTAGTTTTGTGTTTAATCGAACCCAAATTACGACCCAGGAGTTTTCATGTTAAATTTTTCTACGGTAAAGGGCGTCTCCCTGGATGATCTTCGTTACGTTACGATTGGCAAGCAAACAAAAATTGAGCGCTGAACTAAAAACCCTGCCCCCCCCCTCTCCCTCGCGTGCCGCTGCTCGACAGCACTAGTAACGAATTCCGCTGAACAATTTATAATAAAATATGTATTACTTGCTACTATTACTGATTTCAATTAGATCCTATAAATTTTCCATAGCTAGGAGTTTTGGTGAGTTTGCACTGTCTGCGGAACTAATATCAATGATTAGATGTTATAATTTATTTTTTTTATCTGAAGAGAGTTCCTGTACCTACTAGGAAGAACGAATTTCTCGGGTGCGAATTTTACGTGAGCGAAACGTTCCGGGACTCGAACCTTCAGAGTGTGTACGACTAATATCCATGGTGCGAATGTGCGAATTGCCAGGATGCGAATTATCCGGGACCAAATTTTCCGCACACGATATGAAAACCCCTAATAAGGAACTCGAGTTAAAAAAAGTCTGGAATCCGAGCTCTACTCTCATTACAGACCTCTTTTATTGCAGACACTTTGAGAACTGAAGGTCACGTTGGGTTCAATGGATGCCGCCCGGGGCATCTTGGTCAGCGTCGAATTGTTAGCGGAGGGCCACACCCTGGCAGGACAGGCATCATTTGAATATGCTAACATTACATACGCCCGTTAATGCACCTTGACGATACATAATCAAAAGTTTCAAAGAGGTGACATTACACCTGCTATGGTACTGATGGCTATGCCCAGGTTCAATATCCTAAAATTCGGTTCGTAAATGTCCGAGATGACTAAAAGGCACTGTGAATGTTGATTGATTAGGTTCCACTTTTCGCATTGCGTATTATATGGCTAAATATATGCTCAGTTTGAATTTCATGCACTTCGGTTAATAACTAACGGAGATGTCAAAAGGACCTTCTGTATTTTTTGGCCTACATTGCCAATTCACTAATTTCGATCTAGAAATTTGATAAATAATCCATTTGGAAAATTTCAACGAAATCGGTTCATCCGTTCTCTTTTAAATCGATCGACAATCGACATGAAGCCATCGAGCAAGTCATCTGCGAGCGGCCGGACAGACGAGCGAGCGGACGATTGGGGGAAAGCTTAAGCGTTTTGCTAAAACAAGGCCACTGGTAATAAAATTGCTCCTCATAATTCGCCCTGATTTGTGTAACTACATCTGTAAAGCATATATGGAAGTGGGTCATTTCTGAAATAGCTATTTATACAATATAAGTTGCGAAATGAGTGTCTTTTAGGCACGCGACGTGAAAATTGTCCAACGAGGCAAAGCCGAGTGACTAAAAGGCATCGTTTCGTAACGAGTTATATACAAGATTTTTTGTGAAAGCGGAGAATTTAATAATTTTATAATTTTATTAGTAATTATTTTTAAACATTTTCAATTTTCATATTAGCAAATTTACAAACCTTATTGCATTCAATTCAAAAGTTTATAATTGTGCATTTAATATTTATAATAAATAGATATTTCATTGATTTTAATGTTTCATTTTTAGTTTTACGCACTAGTGCCTAAAACTTTGATATTTAGGCATTAGTGCCTAAAAGAGTGTCATTTCGAAATTCTAATCAATGTCAAAATTTGTCAATTTCGAAACGCTTTCACAAAAAAATAATGTAAATTCACTTCTGACTTCCACATTTTTCACCAGGACTAAAAATAGGTGAATGTGATGTGATTTTATCCCATTAAGTAATTGGCAGTACCACCTACAACTATTACTTAAGATTTTATATCGCTGACCTGAAGTCCCCTCATGGGGTTTTTCAATTTGGAAAGCTGTGTGTAATACGAGAAAAAAACCATTGTATGTGCATCAAAATTTTTCAAACGGATGGTATATTTCCATCTATTATGCGTAATCAACGTACCTACATAGAATACTACATTGAAGTGAAGATTCCCTTTTAAATTCCCAAGCTTTGCGTTAGATGGTGCTACGGTACGGAAAAGGCCATAAAAATGGAATTTGAAATCATTTGTCAGGTAATTCCTTTTTTATCATAGAATTTTGCCGATCGTAGCCGAGTGGTGATGATCCGCATGGACTTTGTTTAACAGTACTCCCACTACGAAAGATTTCATTTTCATGTTTTCCTCTTTTTATAAATAGGGAAACAATAGACACAATCAGTGATTATTTGAACTGTATCCATTACAATGGTAGACCATAACCGGTAAATTAAATTATGGGTAATTATCTACAGCTTAAAAATGTATAAATTTTTAGTTTAGGGGCGAATGAGATTGCCGAAGAGAGAGATATTAAAAGTCAAGGTTACGATGCCATACTTTTGATTGCACATTCTAAGCGACCGCTTAAAATTGCTTCGGTTTTTTCGCCGGCGGTTTCTAACGCTTTGCAGTACGATCCTGGACTGAAAACAGAAGTCGGGGTCATACCTTTGAGCGATCATCCCGCAGGACGTCTAGTCTACGCCCCTATATGCAATATTGATCCCGACTATGACGATGTCAGGGTTATAAAGGATGCAGTTATCAAGGGATTGAAAAGGGCCTTACTTTTGGAGGCAAAAAGGATTCTACTCGTGGTAGAGGACTTTCCAGAGTTTGAGAATGGTTTACTGGTGGGCGTGTTGGCCGCGTTGGAGGTGGTGTATACGGTGAGCATTTGTGTTATGGAAGTGTTTCCAAATATATTTAGCTCGAGTGGACATTTTTATCAGATAACGTTATCAACATTTAGAGGATGGCGCCGTTTGCCATAATCACACAAAACGAGCATTTATATGAATACTAAAATTGTTACTTCCCAAAGTTGCACCCCTCATTTTTCATGCTTTTCCAGCCGATACAAGTACGAGAAAGAAATCCATCGAGGAGTGTAAAACTAGAACGATTGGGAGTTCTTAGTCATAACACAGACAAGGACGTTGTGACAATTGCAAAGATTCTGGAACGGGGAAGATATGTGGCGCGTGACATTGCTGGGGGAGATCCTGAACGAATGGCTCCCATCAAAATTCAAGAATATGTAGAGGGGCTATTCTCGAAGACCTCCATTAAGATAACAGTGGTGTCCGATCGAGAGGTGCTAGCGAAAGAGTATCCGCTGTTTGAGGCCGTCGATCGTTGCGCCAGTGTAGTAGAGCGACATCGTGGAAGAATCGTCTTTTTGGAATATACTCCACCAAAGGAGGCGACTAAGACCCTTATGCTAGTAGGCAAGGGAGTTACCTATGATACCGGTGGCGCAGATGTCAAAGTTTCGGGAGCCATGGTAGGAATGAGCAGAGATAAGTGCGGAGCTGCGGCAGTTGCAGGCTTTATGCACATCGTCGATCAAATCAAACCTCCCCAAACCAAAGTTATCGCGGCACTATGTCTTGTTCGAAACAGCATCGGCTCTAATTGTTACGTGCCCGATGAACTCATCATGAGCCGATCAAAGGTTGCTGTTCGAATGACCAACACCGATGCTGAAGGACGCGTAGCGATGGCTGATGCACTTTGCAAGGTATGTTAAAAAAACTATACTCCCGTACGTTGCTCCTGCTACAATTTATTTACATACTCGCGTGTAAGTAATCATTATTAGGTATACTAACAACTAACAAGGTTTGCCTACAATCAGAAACTATGTTAAATAGCGCCACGTACAAAAAATTCACCTAACTAATTCACACTCGAATACCTACACTGAAAGAATTTAAATTAGCATAATTGAAGCATGTGTTTTATGGTAATTTTAATATTTATTATTAATACGCAATGGAATGTGTTATACATGCCGTACTCGTTTTGATACCTGTTACAAATACAAAAAAAGGCGTAATGATATAATTACATCGCATTATTTCAAAATTACCATAAATAATTTGCTGATGAGGGAAAAAATTAGGGCGAAACGTTATCATTTGTATAATCTAAACAATTTTCCTTCTGTAGATGAAAGAAATGGCCGTCACTGCAGTCAACCCGCATTTATTTACCGTAGCAACCCTTACTGGTCATTGTGTTTTGAGTGTTGGTTATGGATACTCTATAGGTAAGTGTGTCGTATTTAGTATGCTAAATCCCAATATTAATAACTCCTTAGTCGGTATTAGATTCTTTAATTGCAAGAACGCGTGGTTAAGTTGTTCTTGCATAGCATCAAAATCGTTCGCAAGCTTAAAAATATTTGTCAAGTTTAAAGTATTTTACTTATCTGAGTAATTTTTCAATTGACGCAAAAGTTTATTATATTCGAGTGCATGGGTCCCTAAGCACTCATTTAGGTACTTAAGGCTTCCATATCTGGGCGTTATATCGTTGAGTGAAATTCGTTATTCAATGGATATAAATTATGGAATGATAGCACTTCATTGAGAAATCTTATGACGATGCATTCATCCATAAAGGATTTAATCACTTTAAAGTACGGAAAATTGCGGTAGGTATCTATGGAAGATTAAAATATGAAACACATTCGCTTCCTATTGGTAAAATTTCGTTCGACTTTTATACCTATACCAGTCATGACTTGTGCGTAAGCGCAACTGAAATGAATTATGGCAGGTCGTGCCAAAAGGTCTTTAACAGACAACGAATTTGATTGTTGGAGCTTATGAGCCTGACTAGTGGTTTTGCATCTTATGGCATCCAGTTACTTTTCCTTGTAATCTAAAAAAGTGTGCAGACAGCCAACAGACATTAAAATATCTTTTTTTACCCCAAAAAAACTGCAGTTTGACGTAGTCAACAGCAATAGTTTTACGTAAATGGAGGAAGAATGAAAAAATGTCATGAAGAAATCAAGACTGCGCAGGAAAATAAAAGAAAACGGTCAAGAACAAATCAGAAATAATGGGTGGGAGTGGGAAAGACATGTGAATTTGCCAGCAGCACACACAACAGACCAGTCACAAATGGACAACATATTAGCACACTCCACGGCTATATCTGCCTCGCAACCTCCTACATCCCATCGTTTAATGTTGTTGAAAGGCCCTAGGGGAGAATCCCCACATCGCGGCAGTTGCGAATATCTTCGTGCTTTGGGGACGTAGCTCTTTAACGAAACTTTTAGACCCTCAGTTTATTTGAAAAGAAAAATGCTTATTTTGGTCCCCTTCCTCCCTTCTGGCCCCATTCCCAAATTGCTAATCGTAGAGCATTAATTGTTAATTCTTGGTTACAAAAACTACACGTTTTACTGTTTCTCAAATAAAATGAATGATAAATAAAACATTTCAATATTGTGGACTAACTGCCCATAGATACAACACAAATCTGCTAAATATTGCAATACGTATATTACACCGCAATATAATAGTAGATAATATTGCACTATAAGATAAAACATGGTTAAATTAAAGTTGATGAATTTACTAATACACTAAACATTAGTTGCTATACCATCATTATTCATAAAAATTCATCTGTGATGTGGAAAGCAATTATAAATCTTACAGTTTAAAATGTACAGGGCGCGCTGTTAAGAAAGGTCACAGGCCATATTTGCGCAGCTTTGAGAAAAAGATTTTGTTGACAAAAGACACCAAAAGAAATCGCCGGAAATTATTTTCAAGTTTCTAGGTTTGCCGCTAGAGGGTGTATGATTCATGGTTTAGTAAAAAAATCATTTTTTCCTAAAATATACTCCAAAAACATACCAAAAATACATGCATCGCAATCTTGTATTAATTTTGCATCATTTTGATGCAGAAGATGCTCTAGATAGTAGAATATGAGAGGTGGGAGGAAGGGAACATCTCCTTATGGAGTTGAATGAGTTTATGTTAACCAATTCTCACATATTTACCATAGTTCGGCAGCATAGGAATGTCCAAAATTACCTTTATTACTTAGGGTTTGTAGTTACCGAAAGCACAAATTAATTGCCTTTTACCTTTTTACCGGTTGCCACTTTATTTATAATGTTATTAGCACCTCGTATAAGCAATTTGATGCACAACTTTGGTTACTAAATTGTTCTTTCAACCTAACTAGCCACTCCAAAAAATAGTGCATGTTTTGCACCTTGGATTCCAACGCCTTCGTGGTAACAATTCATTTGAATACGAGTACCACAATCCAATAATGCACCGGAACGAAAACGTTTATATACTTATTAATACGGTAACGTTTAGCACTGTTCACAGTTAAAAATTATATCCGCCCGATAATCTTCGCTACCAATCGAAGTCCCTTTGTTACTTAAAAACCACCTCTTATAATTTGTCTTGTTCGAAAGGGCAGTTCTCACTGAATATACCAAGTACGCACGACATTAAATTCGTCGAAAAATGGTGGCACAAATGTTCGGTTCCGGAGCCAACTATTGTCCCACACACCGCGATTATACAGCTTTTACACGACCCCAAAATGTAGATTCTATAAGACTTTCGCCCTCCATCAGATTTTTACTTAAAAAACACCTGGCCGAATCCCAAATACGAAACGACGCCCGATTTCTGATCGCAACTTTTGCGAAAAAGGTGCTCTTTTAAAGAATACAATCTAATAAAACTAGACTCACGGTAAAGGGCGGACCCCCCACACAAATTCTCCTCTAGAATTACTGCTCCGGGAATTTACGCCTCCAAAGAATATTCTCCTCCGCCGAAATACTCCCCACGAGGAATTTTGTTTAAAAAAAAATTCATGTTAACGAAAAGCTCCTTCCCAAAGAATTAAACAGAAGGTGTCCTACGAGAAGCATTCGTTCGTATAACCGAAGAACTTCCGATTTAGTTATTTTAATATTGATTGCTGGTTGATTTTTTATTTCAAAGAAATTCACACATCTGATCTTTGAGAAATTTGAACAAAATCTCTTTCAAAAATTTCAAAAATTGCATATTCAGAACGTACGCAAAGACTATAATACCAAAGGTTCGACAATTTCTGTTGTTGGGTGCAGTTGTATGCAATGACCGTGACATACGTGCCAAAATCATATTCCGAAAGGGACCTACCTGGGGTGGCTATAGAGATCATAACGCCAAACGTTGGGGAAGAAATCAGACCGATCGGTCTTCTGCACCGGGGCCAAACCGGACCGTAATCATCATTTCAGATAGTGATGGTTCTTCTGTACCGGTCTTTGGGACGGATCGGCCCGAAATCGTCCCTGTCTTTAGTGCGGTAAGGTCCAAAGATCGAGACCGCGACGATACCTACCAAAGACCAAATATTAATACCCCTAAGTGGTTTATTCAATAGCAGTTGCTGTGACTGTCGCCCAGTAAGCCAAATTTCCCAGAAATGGCTCAATACTACTTCCAGGCCCGTAACCAAAATGAAGTAGCAGGGGACCATTAACCGTACATTCCAGTGGGGGCAAGACTACTTGGCCACCCCCTGGCTACGAGCCTGTACTATTTCGTACCTCTGAGCGTCCCTATTTTTCCAGTGATAATCGTTTAGGAATAGTTCATTGCAATTGAGTTTATTGCTCGCTTGCAGCATTTTTACTACTATCTACAGCTGTCCTGTACATTTTTCTAAAAGGAAAGTCGTATGTACGCATAATTTTCACGGATTTTAACTGGAGGTCACTGCAATGCTAGAGATGACAAACCGCTTACACGTTTTCAGTCATGGTGAAAGGGTATCGCATAGTTGGCACCGGTCCGGTGGAAAGACATTCACCACTTGTAGAAGGTAGTAGAATCGACTGTGTGCCACCAAACGTAGGAATTAACGAAAATGAAACAAGAACCACTGGCTGATCGAGGGATTGCTTCCACTGAAAGAGGTGGGAGTTCTAGCTACGCCGGAGCTCCATTCAAAGAGAATAATCTGTGAGTTGCCGTTATAGAATAATTTTGGGGAAGGATTAAGGTAGAATGCAACATCTTGTAGAAGACCTGCGTAATGAAATTGAAGAACGGAGAAGCTACCTAGTGAAAGGTCTACTGATACAGGCACATATTAAAAGTTACGCGATTAATCTATTTTTCGCGTCAGTAAACCTTTTAAAAATTTCATCTTGGGTCGAATTCCAGGTTTTCTTTTCTCTCCAGAAATCTGCACTTAATATTGAAATTATAAAAAAGCTTTTAGTGTAAGTGCTGCTCGCTGCGAAAGCATTTTTCGAAACTAGTTAAGATCGATAGTGAGCTACACATGGATAACAAATTTCGCTATCCTGTCAATGAAACGGGAAGTTAATGCTCCTAGTTTTGAGTCTTTTGTCAGTGAATTTGATTGTCATAAAACTCGGCCAATAGATTTGAAAATCAATCGCTCTCTGCTATTTTTTTACATAAAGTGTAGTAATTTTATATGTAACTTGAAAGTAATGCCATAGCATGATACTTGTTAAGTTGCAGTATCATGATGCCATAGGACCTCAAATTGAGGTGCGTTTCGACTCCCGCAAGGTGGGTGCTGTGCACGAAATATGGGAGATTAATTCCAAACCCAAAGGGGCGTTTTTTTGTAAAACCGTAAACCGGCGAATTCTAATCGAATGAATTTAACAAATACATGATAAAAAGAGAGCTTAACAGTTTATCATTTTACGGAGAATGTAAAAGTAAAAGCACCCAAAAAGAAAAAGAAGGCAAATAACTAAAGGCAAGGCATGTAAAGAAAAATTAAAGAATTACTGCCTATCATAAAATTGAAGATTAGCGTAAAGGCTACATTGGTAATGAATGAAATATTCTGAAGATGGCATGGTGTTTATTAACCTATAATATCAAATCAAGATTGAGAAAGATAAGTACAAACAGAAAAGTTGAAGGCTAGGCAAAGGTGATATATTACGCAATAAATGTCTAAGATGCGAGGATTAGTGTCATGAATATTGTTACAAGCCCATGGGAACGTATAGGTATAGGAAGCTAGATTGGAGCAACGTATTTTGCAGATTTTGAAACATCCAAATAAACAAAGAAGAAAGGAGTTTTCAGATGAACTTCGAACACCAGTTCCGGAGTAAGTCGCCAGTGGCAAATTCCCAAAGAAAAAACTCACTAGAAAATCGCTGCAGGAATTCATTCTTGATCTCTATCTAATTTTTTTCCCATCTGCAAACCGTTGGCAAAAACCGTTTAGTGAGAGAAATTGTATTGGGCAAGGTAATTATCAAAAAACTGCCGGGGCCCTACTTAAGAAAGCTGTTAGCACTTTACGCATAACTGTACCAATATGCATTGAGAAAAAATCGCACCAGGAAGTAACAGTACTAGAAATTAAAGAGGCGTTTTTCGCATCAAAAAATTATTTAACCTGGCAGAATTGACATCACGATTTTTATTGCTATGTAATGGTATAACTGTAAAAAAAACGCGAACTGCGCGAAATGTACAATCAAAATTATCCGCTAGTCCGTTACTTGTCCCCATTTTCTTTTAAACTACAGTTCCTTATAATTATTATAATAAAGACGTTAAATTCTTTCTTGTTTACACGCGCATTTGCCAGTATTTTTTGCTAATTTTTTGCGAATACTACTAGCAATGGATAACGGACCCGCACGCAAGCATGGAAATGCGAATAAATTGCAAGAGGAAGGCGCAAAAATTGGCGATCCGTACGAAATTTCGACGATACGCAAGGAGGATTTCGCATACCACAAAGGCAGATCGGAGGAGGAGGACGCGACCCAAGGAAATAATCAACCTTCCACTCGCACCTTAAGAGGTCATCAAGGTATTAATTGCGAATTATTAATTGTGAGAAAAGACGAACGTCTGTCTGTTTTAGGTCCTGCGGCATTCTTAATTATGGCTTCCGGTCTCGACAAGCATGGATCGGGAAGCACAACCCCGTTGAAATATACCCACCTCGACATTAGTGGATCGTCCTGTGGAAACTATCCTGCACCCGAAACTGGTGCGCCCATTCTTTCACTTGTGCATACCTATTTATTTTAATGCTTGCATTTTTAATTAATCCTAATTAATTCATACGGTTAAAATTTATTAATTCAAATTTTGGCGTGCAAAAACGATCAATAAAATACGTACGTCTTTGACATTATCTGTAAAACAATTCCGTTGTAAATCACGACGGGAATGGGCCGTGCTCGCATCATTTTTAGGTGAAAAACTCGGCGTTGGAGGTGAAATTGCTTGTAAAATATATGACAATCAAGACAAATATGCATCAAAAAACTAATAAAATAAGTAATTCAAGGTTGTGATTGTTCTAAAGCAAGGAGAAATAATATCAATAACTTGATAGAACCGCATACCTCCTTGATCTTTATTTGCGAGTGAAAATCCTGTTCCTACTTTATGCACCTTAATGTTGGTCAAGGTTCTAATAAGTATTTTCAAGTACGATTTTGTTCTAATATTTCTATATTTAACTACACCATTCGCAATTTCCGATACAATTTCAGGGTTACTCGCATAAGCATCTGAAGGGTGGAGTAGGTAATGAGCGATATTTTTCCGTTTCGGTGTTTCATGAACGAGCGATTACGTGGAACAGAAAAATACGCGTAAAGGTAAGCGATAGGAGTGGGAAAACAAATCGGTCATAACTAAAAAAAAGGCTGAAATTAAAGCCATCTAACACTGAAATGGCGAGACAGAAAAAATGATGGTGCCAATGCAACACAGAGAATTATTTTCATCATTCAATGTTACTGGACTTGATATAAATTACTCTGAGCGGTGTAACAATTAATTCGTGAGAACTTCAATACCGTACCAATAAAGAAACCTAATCGACGTATCAATGTTTTTCTTCCTTGAAAAATTAGCGAAATGTAAATTGTTATATTTGCGTTACTTTCAGACTCAATTAGCATACAAATTGCTGAATTATGTAAGATATAGCCGAAAGTTTATTCAAATAATGATTCATAATAATGAAAACATAGATACAATCCTTTAAATATGTATCAGTGCACAAAGAAAAAACATAATACCTTGAATTGTTAATGGAATAAAGAGTGAAGTACACACTGCACCCAAAAGGTACCTGTTTTTCTTCCCAGAGTTTCGGTTTTTTTGTCCAGCGAGTGTTTGCAATGAAGATTTGTGTAGGACCGCATTAAATATAAATAATAATTAACAAGATCAAGAAAACAGCGTCACAATGGTATAAAAACTGTTGTTATTTTTACTACAGAGATTCTTCCAATCCATCCTCATTTTTGACATATTCAGTGTAAGGAGCTTTTATTATCGAAAGGATCTACCGTTAAATTTTCAGAAAAATTGCTCAGTGCAGAACCTTATGTGGGAGTTCTGAGATCTATTCGCGTAATAACGTGCGAAAATGCGTAAATATGCACGCCTGTGACGGCCTTCAGGATAATGTTCTCAATGGGATCTTTTACGAAATGATTTGATATACATCCGCATATTGCACTATCGATGGCGCTTAATTGACAAAGACTTTCTTTTTTACTGTGCGGTGCGCACAACTGACGACTCTGTTAACCTTTTCCTGCTCGTTGGCTAAGATTTTGCGCCACTTTCAAGGGCCCTACAGACGGACGTTTTTGTACGCGTTCATGTAGGTACGTGCATACAAAAACGTGAATTATATTGTATTATTATTATAATAAATTTAAAAAATACTACCTACCTATTTCTTACAGTTCCCGAGATCTCCCCATGATGGCCCTCCAATTTATTGAATCAGTCTGTATATAAACCTTTAAATCAGGCTTTAAATATACTGATACCATTATAATAGGCAGATAGATTGAAATCCACCTAAAAGAATCAGTATGGTTTGGACTTTGAATTTACGGCCCTGCTAGAGATTCTGAAATTATCCAGATTCTTGCAGAAAATCCTTTGGTGACTCATGACGGTGTCAGACCTCTTAAAAACTGTTAAAGTTAGACGCTTACAAGCTCTCAAGAAGTATTACAAGCATGTCAGTGCTGTTAAACACGGCAGACTTTTTTTGATGACCTTTGAAAGTGTTTAATGACTAAAAGACTTTGGAAACTCTTTAAAACTGTTAACGGTTTTTGAATAACTTTATGCAATCAAAGACTGTAGAATATCTTAGAAGCATTAAGTCGAAGGCATACATGGTATCATTTTAAAAGTCTTTTTGCAGCCCACAAAACTATACTGAAGAAAAAATTTGTAAAAATTCAAATTTCTGAAAAAAACATGGCAAAATGTCAATTTTGAGGAGTTCGAACCTTTATAAAAAGGGTTTCCACTACCCCTGGAAGTGGTAAGATACTGCCACTTGCCTTCGGTCTGTCCCGGACAGGGGAACAAACTCAAGATCAACCGATCAACAATATTCATCTAACAGTTACTCAACTGACAATAGCGAGGTCCAATTAATATCTTTCAAATGATAATTCATCGCTACCACCAAAACGGGGTAAAGCATAAAGAAAAGATTAAACCATAGCAAATGAAGTATTGGAATAGGTACGGGATCATTTTAAATGTCCTCTTCTACTGTGATATTATTGGCAAAAATGTGGCGATGAAACTAAGGAATTAGTCGTATATATGTATTTCAAAATTAACGCAAGGTCTATTATCCCCAAAAGAACTGAGCACCCCTTCGATAAACCGGAACGTCCCCAGACACACAACTGATGTGCGGTTGACTTGCACAGGTAACCTCTCCGGTAGACCGGAGCGTGCGTGGCTCACTTAAGACAGTTTTTTTTAGTAATTTCAACAAAACACAGGGCGTGTGTTGCTGTCGGTTGTGTTGCATACATCGCGTCAGTCTCAATCCCCGCAGTAGCACTTCTGCCACATTAAAAATGAGCTGATGGCATCTTAAAAAAATGTTCTTAATAAATTCATACTTTCGTCAACGATCAGATAAAAGCTAATGCTTTACAATGTTGGGCACAATATTCGAAATTGGAGGGAAATGGCAACGAAGGTGATCTCTCTTCATAGTATTCTAATGAAAAGTCTCGCTTCGAGAGGTGAATGGAGTCAGAAGGACTAATAACTAGTTTTATGCCTCATGGTGTTTAATGAAAGGTCTAAACGAAAGGAATTAATGTCTACCAACTTATTCCTTATGTCTCCAGTACGAACGTACGCAGATAAAAAAGAATATCGGGCCCGAAACACATATATTGGTTGCGTCGGGAGAACGGAGTGTCGAAGGAGGGTACTTACAAAAGGAAGATGGAATATTTCGGATAATCCTCCTAAAGGAAGCATTACACAGCGTCATAGAGTAAATAATATATTACTCTATGATAGCGTATAGTTTGATTGTGTACAAGGCGGCCATTAAGTGTTTGGGTTTCTCGCCAATTAAGTATCTACCAGTAGGTACCTAAATATAATAATAATTATCTGCATAAATACTACCACCAATTTGAGTCCATCCTTAAACTTCGTTTGTCTTCAGTATTGTCCAATAATTTGCTACTTGATATAAATATTTATTTCAGTAGACGTACCACAGATAAAACACCAATTTATTTTAACTGTGCTGGTACTATGAAGGCAATATTGACGGAAGCGTATTTTCAGCGCATTTTCAAGAAAAACAAATCCTACTGATTAATAAATATCAAGTGGTATGTCGTTAGAATCATTGAAACAGGAGGCGCCATGTGGCTTGTCGCTATTTATTTGTGTGTATACAAGAAAGTTTTTTTTTAATAAATAAAATCTTCATACGCAGGAAACTACTACTCACTTTTTACGTGTTGAGAACTAATATCATTAGACAAACGGTTAGAATTAGTAGTATCGATTTATTTTTTATGAAAAATGCCCTAAACAAATATACCCTAACGAGATTAATAACATAGTATAAAATAACTTCAATCTAGATAGTGCTTTTTTCCAACTAATGTTGAAAGGCGCTATTATTATACTAGAAATGATTAAAAGTGGATGTTGCACAAGAGCGACAATGGGCCAAAAGAAACATTTCTTCTGTTTTTGTGCGAAATGAAACTCCGTTTTGAGTAACTTTACTTCTGCCCCAAGTTGGTATTCCATTAGCTGTTCGCGCTTCGGGTATGCTCTTGTGTATCATAAACTTTGTGTAAAATTTCAAACGTTATCTAAAAATGCATATACCTTGACATTTCTCTATTAAGTGTCCCCGCTCTATGTAAAACTAAAGATATTAGAAAGTACCCTGACCGGCACTTAATCATGTATTTATGCATCAATAACATTCCAGATCTGAATTATCCATCTGCCAATTATATACACTTGTTTGTGTTAAGTAATTATTCTCTAACTCTAAAAATGGATCTCTCTCAATTATCTATAAAAGGTTCTCCTCATAAGTACACAATTTAAAACTCTACAATAGACCACAAAGAAAAGACAGATATCAAAAAAATGGTCACCATTTCTATAATAAAAAGGAGGAAGTAAAAAGACATAAGAAAATACTCGCACCCGTCAACACCTAGGTTCTACCTACCGCAGCTAAACATAATTGAAGAGTCTAAAAAACCCAGTCCAATGGTATAAATAATAATTGTACAGGGTGCACCCAATTATTTTAAAAACCCTACTTGTGATAGAATGTTAAAAAGCTTTAAGGGTCAATAAGACGTTATTTTAATGGAAAGTGTCCGTAAGTTTTTTAATTGTCACTCTGTGTACATTACCCTCGCATTGGCTGATTTGCCATCTACTGGAAACATTGTAGAAAATCTTGCACGTTTTTACAGACTATAATATTTAGGGCGAGGAAGTTTTTGAACTGTTTCGATTGATATAGGAGGCCGTTTTGAAGTCTTTCCGTTTCCTACCATATACTGTTATGGATCTTATTTTAAGATTTTTATTTACAATAATTGTCAAAACGCAGAAAGGATTTTTAACATGTTCAGAGTCGAAAACTAAAACCGCGCAAGATCAAAGACAATCCCCGAGAATCTAAGACAAACATTTTGGGGCATCTAAAATTGGGTCGGCGATTGAAAACTGCGGGACACGCATTCAAAAAACAGCCCTTCAAGAAGAAACAGATTAGCGTCCACCTCAAAATTACAAATACATTCATTTCTTTTATTTAAAATCACTCAAATCTGGCTAATAC